CATATTGCGGTAATTATCATATTTGATCAATTTTACATTCATAATGCTATACTGAAAAATATTCTTAAGGAAAATTCGCTGTGTAGTAGCGAAAAAGTAAGAAGCGCTTGAATGAGTCGCAGTCCTGTTAGGTCCTGGGTAGCTCAGTGGTTAGAACAGTCTCTCGCATTGCGAAAAGTCGTGGGTTCGAATCCCATCTCAGAGTGCCAGGGACAAAGAATTTTTCATTAAGAATATATGGCAAAGCATTTTTAATTAAGAATATATTGTGCCCCACAAGTGAAAATACTGATTTCTGATATGTATATGTTCGGAAAATATGAACCATTTTAACTTAAAAATATTTAACAAAATAAATTTTAAGACATTAATTTGATAATAATAAGTTTTGAAAACTTGAAAACTATGGAAAGTAGGGGAAAAGTATGGCTTCGAGAAAAGGAGGTACGACCGTGTCTTTTACTCGCTCGGCGGAGGTATTTCCTTGCTCCAGATACTATCTAATATTACATTGTAAAGTAATTGCATGATATCATATCCCAATATAAGTATTTTTTATCATTTGCACATCCGGTATTGATAATGAAGCAGCTGCATCGTTGGCCAATGTTAATAATTAGTTAATTTTTAGAAAAATAACGACATGCTTTTTCTGAAAATAACATTACCGATTATATGTTCGTTCTACTAACATATTTAATTAAAGTTTTGTTACGTATAATTTATAATTCGTTATTATTAAAAAATATTTGGGAGTAATTCGTCGTTTTCAGAAATTCCCTGTTATCCACAAACCATATATAATGGGTTAGATTAAGGTATATTTTTTTACATTCAATTGAATTCAAACAAATAAAAGCTTGATTTAAAAAATGTTTCCTAAATTTTTTTGTCTAATAAAATCATTGAAACGTTTTTACAGTTATTGCGAGGGAGCGCGATCGCACCCCACTTTTCAATTATAAAAATAATAATCAAAATTAATGGTGGATAAATGACACTGCTATCATTTATTCACCAGTAGTAAAATTAAACTAAATATTGATAACTTATCATGTAGACTGAGTACTGAAGCATTTGCTGTTGAGAAAATTAGACTCTTGACAAATGTTGAAACGGCAAGATTGGTATATTTTAGTTATTTTCATAGTGTAATGACGTATGGTCAATTGTTCTGGAGTTCTGCGCCTAGCATTCAAGATACGAGTATTTGTATTCTTTAAAAGAGAGCTGTCCGCACTATATATAATTTACGGTCTAGAAAATCTCTCAAAGAAATATTTAAAGAAATAAATATTTTGTCTGATGTCTCTCAATACATCTATGAAAATATTTTGTACGCAAAAAAACATTACGATTCCTTCACAAAAAAATAGCGATCATAATCTTAACACAAGAAATATAAATAAACTCGCCATTCCAAGCTTCAGACTTCACAAAATCAGAGGATCATTTCTGGGTAAATGCATTGCTATGTTCAATAAAGCTCCACAAAATGTAATTAACCTACCCATTATCCAATTTAAAATTCATGTAAAGAACATACTTTCGAGTGAAGGCTATTATAAAGTTGATGATAATTTTAAGGATGGCAATGCATGGGATTAATAGCCTTCGCTTTGTTCTATAACGACTAATTATATGTACAATCTATTACCTACAGACTTTGAAAGTTGTATTTATTATTTTGATAATATATATTATTTTGGTAATGACATGATTTATGTAAATGTCATTACTTAAGATAAAAAGCTGGTATCTTTCGCTTGTTCTTCTTGTCAGCTAAAAGACGTCCTGAACAAGTGGTAGGGGAAAAAAAATTTTTGGTCGATTCAAAAGTGCTTGTAATAAGCCTACTTGAATAAAGATATTTCATTTCATTTCATCATTTTTATCATTCGTTCATTATTATAGTATATATGTCAAAGTTGTTGTGAAACGAAATATTGCCATAACAACGCCAAGATATCGTATCTTATGGCTAGACGGGTTACTCAGTCGCTCTGCTGGGTGGGACATATAGACAAGAAACTTTTCAATTAGGTTTAAGTGTTATGGTAGCTAGATTGTTTCTTATTTCCATAGTACAAGTGCTTATTTTAGCTATTTAATTTTGGATCTGAATAATATATTTGTGGTGATATAGTATACTTTATTTATTTACCTTACTTTAAAAGGTCATTAATTAAGAGAGAGCATAGTTGAAATCACAAATATTGTAACAGTTGTGAACAAAACAAACCAAATTAAGACATAATAAATAAAAAAGATCAGATTACTATTAATGCTAATGTTAAAAGCGAAGGTGAAAAATAATAACGCCATAATTTATAAACAAAAACCAATATATTTTGACATCTTACAATTTTTAATATCACAATATACTCATTTAATAGGACAGGTACCCCCAAGAATTTCGATATATGCTTATATGTTACATTATAGACTTAAAAGTAGTATCTATTCAGAATATGAGGGCCGATCAAATAGTATCCGGTAATGATGTGAAATATATTACCTATGTATTGATTTCTTTGTATTATTCAACGTAGTCTCCTTTTACATCTTTATATAACGAAAAAAAAATCACTTTCTTGGGTTTCCAAAAACTTGTTTACAGCGGCCATGACTTGTTCATTATTGTCAAATTTTATACCTCTGTGTTATTTGTATGTGTTATTTTAAAACGGGAAAAGATGGAAGTCACTGGGGGCTAAGTCGGGTGAATATGGCGTTAGCTCCATTAATTCAAACCCTGCCTCTTGGATGGCAGCGAGGGCTACTTGAGACCGATGTGCAGGCGCGTTATCGTGATAAGGGCTCAATTTTCCACGGCGTCTTTATTTAATTTCTTCGCGGAGTTTTCTAATCAATTTTCAACAATTCATAGTATGAACCAGTAATTGTCACTCCTTTATCTAAATAATCAATGAGGATTATTCCTCCAGCATCCCAGAATACGGTGTTCATGACTTTGCCAGTCGACGATTGAACCAGGATTTTTTCGACGTTGGTGATGATGGTCTTGATGATGGTTTGCAGGCCATACTATGTTTTTTCGTTACGGGATCGAAGTGATGTACCCACGTCTCATCTACAGTTACAAAACGTCGCAAAAATAAATCCATATTGACTCGCATCAAAGTAATTTTTTTTTTATTGGCACTCGTGTTTGCATCTGACCATCTGTCAACATTCTAGACACCCATCTTACAGAAACTTTTTTGAAGTATAAACAACCTGTTAAAATAGTTTGAAACGCTGCCGTAAGAAATCTTTAGGGTCTCGGCTGTATAACGAATTGTAACACGTAGGTTTAAAACAATTTGTTCGACCTGATTTTTGTTTTCTTTGGTGGTTGAGGTGCAGAGACATCCAGAGCGGTTTTCGTATTCACAGTTTGTAGAATAAGACGGAGCATTGTCACCAAAAGGCGATAAAAGTTCATTAAATATATCCTTAGTGGACATTTTTTAATACTTCATCTCCGCTCGGATTTCAGTTTTATCCATTTTATTCATAATACTGCTACAATCCAAATTCAAATTATCATAAAAAAATTAGCAATCGACTTTTTACCACAGCTGTTATGGATAAATGTGTCATCAAAAAAACAATATGACCTTCAAATATTAGTTAGAAATATTGATTAACGGAAACTTTCGGATCGCCCCTCGTATATATTATATTTACTTTGTACTTCTAAATTGATTCAATTAATAAAATGTTAAAATTATAGCTTAACAATTTTTTGCTATTATATAGCCGTAAAATAAATTTAGAATGACCACCTTTGGTTTGAGCTGTTCCAGGACAGTGCTAGATTAAGTTAGAGCGGGGCCTGTAGCATTGCTTGTGATTAAGTGTGAAACAAAACAAAATTCTTACAAACACAATTTTCTTGATTTCTAAAATTACATCGTAAACATAACCATCATTCAGACTCAATTTGACTTGCAATGTCATTGACAACACGCGCTTCTTATTTTTGAGGTTTAACAATAAAATAACGGATCGTTATGGTTTATGGCTTTTCGATAAAATGTGGATACTCTTCTTATCACTTAATATATATTTCGTGATGACGACGAATAATCGAAATCGGTACTCGTTACAAACGAAGCATAAAACTCATCCTTTTACTTTCGAATAACACAACACAACTAATCTGTTATTTTATTTCTTGCATTTTCTAATGCTGATGGAAAAATAATTTATTGGTCAGACCATAGTGAGGCTTCTAATTGCGCGAGGTGCCCAAACGCGAGGGGCCCATAGCATTTGCTACGTGGCTAATCTGGCACTGTTCCAGGACTTCTGTACCAGGAGGATATTTGCTGCTATAAAACTCACTACATGTACTTAATATTTTAAGTGTTTGTATTATTATAAGGCACTTTCGACGTTTGTTTACTTACAACGCTATACTGCTAATTTTATCCATTATTTAATGTAATGTAACAAAATACCGCTCAGGGTAAAATTAAAGAGAACAGTGCGTATGGCAGTTAAAAAAGAAAAATTGTGACCACTAATTTATAGGCGACATTAATACCGTGTGATATTCAATAATTTAAACAGATTTCCATACAATAAATACTTAACAACAAAAAGCCGCTCCGGTCTGTTTTTATAATATACGACTTTACCATGTCATTACACTTTGAATAAATAATATTTAGTCTTAATTCTCGACTTTTTATGAATAGAAAATAGAATTTTATGTACAATTAACTCACAATGGTTTTTTATATATACATATAGATAACAGTCTTTTCGGTAAATATTCGTAAAATTAATGTTTCTTCATTAATAATAACTTGAAATCAAAATAACATACAAATGTCATAAAATTAATAGGTATACCTTGGTATTTACTTATTTATCAATTAAAAATGGTTTGCATATCTGCCCCCTTACTCTTCAACGCGATTGCGTCGATTGCGGCGACTGATCAACATCTCCGCATTCTTGATTGGTTCAATAGGATATTCTGGCGCTAGTGTACCCAAACAAGAGTACGAAACGGAACTATTGCAACGTCGATGGTTCGAGATTGCGTTCGAGAGTAAGGGGGGCTTTTCTTTTGTCAAAACTATTCATGAGATTACTTAAAAAACTTATTTACAAAATAATATCTTAATACTAGTTACAATCATCATAATAGCTCTACAACTTACATCTTCATAAAATTGAACATTTTTATTCTTTAAGGATATTAAGTATTTTAACATTGTCACCAAAGCGATAAACAATATAAGTCGATAAACAAGCTTGATTAATTACATGAACTAAGGAAAATATGGAATAAACGATAACTTGCTTCTAATCGTGAAATTTTTTTGCTGACACAAAAAATTACGCGGCCAAGTACCGTTAAAACTTATTCTCTATAATAGTACGAGAAATATTTAAGAACCTGTCACAGACAATTCAGCATAGATTGTAGTTTCTTTTTCAAGAATTATCATTTGATGTTTACTATTAAGTTCCACCTCTTCTGGTGGTTTTTCATCTGTTTCCTTTTTAGTGTATGCTCGTGGACCAACTATTGATAACATCACTGGTAAGAAAATTAACCCGTTAAACAGACCGAAAATTATGACTAGAAGGAAAATTTTGAAAAACGATTTGAATGTGTACGCTTTCGACATACTAAGAAGAGATAATGATAGCAAAGTTGAACCGCCACCAAGCAATACTGCGCCACCAATAGATGTCACAGTTTTAAACGCTCTCTCCGTACGATATTCACCAGGTGTGATTAAAAATGTATGGCCAATATGAGCAGCGTAATCGACGCATAAACCAATAGCTAACTCCAGTCCAATACAACAAACTATGTCAACTGTCATACCCCACCTTTGCATCCATCCTAGTACGTTCACAATAGTAAGAAGTACACAGATAAATATCCACAAACACATTTGTAAATTCGTTATCAATACAACAGTACAAATCATTACACACAATAACGCTAACTCTATATTCCTTTCAACTTCAACTCCTATTATCTCGTCAGTAACCCAATTCGCAAATGCTTTTGACCATACACTTCGATAGCCATCGTCGGTTTCAAATGAAGTAGATTTTACCAAACTCTTAACCTGATTCATGGCTGGAATATGTTCTTCTGGACCTTGAAACCGATTAAATTTAAACGGGATTAACGTCGCTGTTATATTCGAAGCAGGAAGTCCACACCGAATAGGTGATGAGAATTTAAAATTGATCTGAAACCTACCACCTATAGGGCTGAATAGAAACCTCGACAAATAAGTACCAAATTCTTCATCTGAAACTATCGAAATATTACTCAGATCTCGTTTGTAGTTGTTTGAAACATAATTAAAGAATGGTTCCACCCAGTCAGTAACATCGGAAATATATGTTTGATTACGAAGTTCTTTTGTCATATTATATATTCTCAGAAATTCATTATGATAATTCATTTTCCCTAAAAACACCATTGCAGGGTGCCCCTGTTCCGGATAATAATATTCATGGTTGTCCAAAAATTTTTTATAATAAGTATCATCAGGTATAAACCATTTTGGGTCAAATTTTTGTTCTAAATGAAGAATGGATTGAATACTGAATCCTGTCATTACTAAGGTAATAAGAATAATAATTACTCTTCCTGGGATGGTGAATATAACATTTTTGTAAATAGTTGAGAACATTTGTTGAAATATAGTTTCATTCTTAGATGTTTGTATTGGTTTTGAATGTTTGTAACAAAATATGACTCCATTGCGATTGACTTCTATTCTCTTAATATCCAGTGTAAAAACTGCTACATAAAATGTAACAGAATAGCAAAAAATAAAAAATACACCCACAGCAGCATATAAGCAAAATGATTTTAATGATGGCAAAATTGTAATAGCTCCTATAAGAAGAGCGACAATATCTGTGAAGGATGTAATGACTATGGAAACTCCAGCATGTTGTAACATGAGACCGACTCTAGTCGGAAGACTTTTCTTTGATTCTTCTGGTGATAAATTTCTCCAACATGCATTCATAACAAACATGTCATCCACACCAAGACCCATGAGAAGAAATGGCAGCGACGAATGCACAGGTCCAAAAGGAATACCGATAATAGAACACCAACTAACTGCAGTCACATAAGCCATACCTACACATAATAGCCCAACGCTACCTAAAGTTAATCTTATTTCTAACCAGTTAAATCTTGACAACCCAAATTGTATGTATAAAAACATAAGAATTATTCCTATAAATAATTTATCAATATCATGGAACATCATATCACTACTTATGTCAGCAAAACTTCTACCAGCTTCATAAAATACTTTAATACCTGTATTATTTTGAGCATATATTTGCATAAGATCTAAAAATTTATTCTCCCACATTGCGAGGGGAACAGAAACCCAGTCTTCAGTGCCAACAAGATTGCCAACTTCATTTACATCAATTGAAGACATATTAACTTCAGTGTACCAAGTCAGTAATATTGAATTAGCCGTTACCACATCCCCATTTTCATCACGTTTGATGCCACCCAATAATTGAATATAATCTAATGGGTGTCCAGTGACTGGATTGATTTTAACTTTGTTTATTTTGGATACTATATCATGTTTAGTTAAATTTGCTATAGTAGCAGGGTTGCTATGCCACAAGTCTAAAATATTATTCTGTAGACAGCTCATTTGAAAGCTATTGAGGAACCCACAATAAAAATCATCATCAATCCAAAAAGTAGGATCTGAATAATCATTATCACTGGGATTGCCTTTGATTGTTTTATTGTTATTATCATTAGCTTGTTTTCCAGGTCTATTTTGGTTTAAGTTCATAAAATTTACAACTGGAACTTTGAAGCATAGATCCTCTATTAGCATAGATGTATTATTATAATTAATTTTGATAGAATTTACATCCTTTGTCATATTATTTAAAATCATTAGAACTTTTGGATCCAATATGTCATCAGCTGTAACTATAATCCTTTGCAATCTAAATCCGATGTTAAAATTGTCTATGTACCACTTTGTATCGTAGTAGAAGTCTGAATCTGGTGGTACCCATAACTTCATAGGATTTTTTTCTATATAAAATCGTAATATACCGGCGCTGCTTAAAAGTAAAAAAATCCATGTTACGACGATAGTAGTCCAAGGGCGACGAGCAATCGCAAATCCGAGGGAGAAAAATATCTTTTCAACGAAGTGCACAAATGTTGAGGATATATTTTCCCACAATCTCTGTGGTGAATTGATAAACTTCGATACAGGCATAGTGAGTTACGCATTTAATATTGCAGCCACTTGAATAAAATATTTTCTTTTATAACAGTGTCGTCAGGAATTGATTAAGCTACGTAAACACTGTTTAAAATACAAAAACCTTAATCTTTAAATATAAACTAAGAACACCATTTTGTGATAAAGAAATTAAAATATTGCATTTTGTCTTCACATTATTATGTACAAAAACACACACCTCCCCAATAAGATCAATCGAACTGACTGACCAAAGATTACAATATTATACTGGTAATAGATAGCAAACTCAAACTTTAAATAGGTCACGATTACAGCGCCATCTATCCGCCAGCTAAAAAAAGTCACGCGTATGTGTGCGTGTATATGTGTGTAGCTAGCTACAGCCAGGTTTATTTGATCAGTGTTTTTTTTGATAAGATAAATAGGTATATTTTTTCTTTTATATAGATTGATTCTAAAAATGTTTAATAGTTATTATTCATTTTGAGAATCAATACATATATAAAAAAAGCAAATGTACCTTTATAACTTATCGAAAAAAAAAAAACACTGCTAATTAAACCTTAAATATAAAACATAATGTAAGACCGCAGATTATTTTTCGTTTTATTTGCTATGATTAAACAAGTATATCAGGAGTCATATTTATATGGTTTATGTTCAATGCTAACTATTATAAATGTTTAGAGCAAGTAAAATAAATCAATTAGTTTATTTCAATGAAAGACTTGTTATTTTTGTAGCTTTATTAACCATCTTATTTCAGACATTCATCAGTGATCCACACACAGTTTTTCTCTTCCTATCTTTATTTTTTGAAAAATGGTTATGAGCCTTTACCTTCATTTCATCATTTCTATCCCAAAATGAAATTTTGCCATTGATTAAATGATTGATATTTTTGCACCAATTATTAATAAAAAATACTGCACATTTCTCTGTTATGAATTCTTTTAGTTGAATTTGGTGTTCTGTGCATTGTAAAAAATTTAAATCTAAATTAATCTTTATGATTAACTTTATATATGTCAAAATATTTTTTTTTATTGTAATTTTCTTTTAAAACTTCTATTGTTTTCAGCATTGGCAACATAGTCAAATAGGTTTCGGGTAGGATAGCACAACCAGCTTTTGTTTTCAAACTCTTTTAAAATTATATAAGTATGAAATATCTGCTTTTCTTTAGCTTCTATGTTGTTTTTACATAATAAACAGCTTATATAAAAATTTTTCTTTGCTAATTGTGCTATCCAGCCACTACAGTATCCAATTGCTGCGGATTTTTCTACTTATTAAACTTTCTGTATTGATTAAATCAATGCATAAATGAGCATTTTCAATTTCAACTTCACATTCAGTGGGTATATCATCTACGTCTTTAGTCAATAGTTCTTTTAGTGTTTGCAGACAAACGCTATCATCCATTTCGCAATTTGATCCCACTGAATGTGAAGAAGAAATATTGTCAATAAGCAATGTTTTAAAGGCCCCCTCAAAAGATTGTGATGTAGGCATCGTATTGCTGCAGGCATGAGCCCTTATTGCCCCAAAAAATTTCTCCAAATGCGTCTTGGTTGAAATTTCATAGCAATAATAAATTTATGCCTTTTGAATTCAAATAAATTAAAATTCTTTTGAAGTTTTCTACTGTTTTTATCCAGCTGGACAACGATGGAACTATCCCATGATTAATTCCATTATGAAACCTCATGCTCCTTAAAACTGGAAGGCTTTTGTTCCATAATTTATGATGAGGCGATGTTGGTGTCACTGCTGTCCTATACGTTTTCCTCCCTTTTGGTTTGCTAAAGCTGCCATTGACACTGTCGAATAAGTCATCAAAAAACATCAACAGGTCTGCAGTTTCAGTGCATTCTTTTTCAAGAACTCCAAACTCTGCAATGAAAATATAATGTTTGTTTAGGTTTGTAATGGAAAATATAAGTTTTTAGTTTATAGTATGTATGTACTATGTATACCAGAAAAAATTTCTATAATAAATCTGCTCTCAAATATATAATAAAACATATGGACTCTAAAATTTCATAATAATAATAATCATCATCATCAGCCCTTTTACGTCCCCACTGCAGGGGCTCAGGCTTTCCTTGTGGATGGTTAAGGAGGATGGGCCATGACCCTCCACGCTGACCCAATGCGGATTGGAGTGAATAGACGACTGTAAATGCAGCCGGGACCAACGGCTTAACGTGCCTTCCGAAGCATGGAGTAGCTCGAGATAATAATTATTTGGTCACCCATCCCATAACATACCCTTGCGAAAGTTGCTTAATCGCGGGCCGCGGCGCTTACCTATTACGCCACCAAGCTATTCTCATAATAATATTAAAAAATATCACCTGTCATTACTCCAATAGCAGCTCCAACAGTTTTACTTAACACCTAAGTGCAGTGTTTCACTCTCATTTTTAGTAATAATGATGGCACTACATGATGAGCTGTCAACTTAGGTGCCATCTTCACTCCTTTGTAGCCTGGGCATCTTTCATATAATTGTAGAATGTGATTCCACTTAGCAGTACATTCCTTTCCATTCATGTTATATTTTAAATTTTTTGTTAACAAATTATACCTGATCCCTTTTATTAAATGAAGTGGGTCATAGAGTGAAAATACTTTTTGTCTCCAACTTCGAAAAATCCTTCTGTATAGTGCTGTCCTCTTCTCAAATACATTTCGTTAGTCTCTTTTAACAACAAGTTTATAGCAGCAATATTTGATGTAGTTTGGTCACATACTGCTGCTACCACCATAAGACCAGTTTCTGCAATTTTAATAATCATATTCTTTATTAAAGCTTTAAGTTCCAAAGCTTTAAGCTTTAAGTTCTTGTACTGCCACTGCAAAAATAATAGGCCAGTGGCTGTTTATATTTTTTAACAATGCCTCTAATTAAGAAAACAAGTACATGGTTACTGTACTATTTGCTTCATTGCTCCATTATCAACAAATCATGTGATAATTTTTTTTTTATTAAAGCTGATGCTTGGTGCTATTGCCATTTCATCAAATACCAAGGTGCAGTATTTAAATTTATCTGGCATTCTCCTAACTCTGGATTTTAGGTTGTCAAATAAAATTTCATTTATGCCTGCCTTTAACTGGACTTTATACAACAAAGTCTGCAATGTTTGTCTACTAGGTAAAATACAAAATTTTCTTAACAGACGATACGCCTTAGGTGCAGGTTTGTATAATGATAGCGCTAAAATCTTTTCATCAATGGTAAATCGATGCCCTTGCTTTTTCTTATTTCCATGTGACATTTGCATTCGGCAAAATAATTTTGCAGTAGGTGACATATTTTTGGAAATTATTTTGAAAGCAGAGGTTTTCATCAAGATTTAGCAAGAGCCAATTTTTGTTTAAAGCTCCTTTTTTGAGCTTCTCATTTTTTCAATTTATTCACAATTATTTTATATTGTTTATGGTCTTTTAGAGAAACACCTGCAACAAATTTCATGAAATGTAAATTAAAGCCTCAAAAATAAATAGTTTCTTTTTTTGCATTACACACTGTACAAAAATATTCAGAATAACTGAATATTTTTCAGATTTGCAGATTGTTTCCAATTTCATGCAGCAATTTTCAAATTGGATAATTGAGATATATTTTTGCAAAACATACCTTTTAATTTTCTTGGCAACTGTTGTTTGGCAACAGGTGTTTGTGTCTTTCCAAGGTTTGTATGCTGACCTGGAAATAATAACAAATATAGTTATTTCATGGAAATCATTGGCTTATCAGTCTCTGGCTCAAATTATGTAAGATTGGCCTATGTTACACAACATAGATTTGCAATTTTGAACAAAGGGACATTCAATTTTGTATAACTATATGTTGACTCATGAATTTTCCTTTATATAAAAAATAATATTATATTTAAGATGATTATTTAACTATTTTAATTTTCATCAGAAAAACGTTTACCAACCTGATGAGCCGGCATTTAGTTGAGAAGGTACAAAATGTGAGCTACGTGGCAAATCCGCACTTGCAACTATGTGAGGTTCTCCAGTTGATTGCGCTGAACATGAAGAAAAAAACATTTTATAATATTTTATTTTATAATAAACATTAAAAATTAACATGGAAATTAGGAGCATTTGAACAATGGTATAAGAAACTAGCTTTCGCCCACAAGGTCTTATATTGTACATATAAACCTTCCTCTTGTACCACTCTATATATTGATGAAAACCACATTCAAATACATAATGTTTTTTATAAGAACTCAGCTTATAGAAAACGTATTTGTTTTCTACTATTTCATTTTTACTTTAAACTTTTTATAGTTTGAAAAATTATTCACTGGTCATTGTTAATCACATATGAATGAATTTTAATGCATAACCTGCTGCTTCCATCTTTAAATAGATAGGTAGTCATTCAATATGCAGTATTATTTATAAATAATAAATTACCTGACATATGAAGTGTAGGCATTGCTATGTTGCAGTCTATTATTGGGATATTTATAAATATCTAGAAAATGTTTTCCACAAATATGCATGTTATTATATATTTTGATTGGATCCAGATGAGTTATTTCTCCACCAACATTATCTAGCCATTTTTTAAATTTCTCTGTTTTAGTTCTAGGTTCAGGACACCGGTGCAAAGGGATACCTGAGTAACATAATAATATGTATTATTCTCTGCTATTCACACAACAAATTATTAGTCCTTAATTATTTGTATAATGGATGAACAAATAACAATTCTTAAATTGTAGGCACATAATAAGTTTTTTAATGAATATTGTATTCTACGATAGCTCAAAGAAAAATACCTGAAAAACATTTGAATTATGAAACTCCACGTATAGGTATAAAAATCGGTTGAAAACTTTGACATTATAGTACAATTCATAAAGTATTTATTGTACAAACTAAAAAGCACTTACCGCTATCCTTAGTCACTGAACATTAAAGTACACAACAACGGTTTTGTGCCATGATTTTTTGAGCAAAGTTCAAATTAAAAACAAGTAACATTTCGGTACAGGATATTTCAAGACACAATACGATTGCTAACACAATATATTTCGATTACACGGACGAACTTAATCAACTCAACGTGAAAAGCAGAAAAAGTTACAGGAACTTGCAAAAACTAACAAGCACACGAACATTCACTCAATACATTTTCCATTTGCGAAGTTAGTTTTAAAGTTTAGCCACAATACCAAACCATTACATACGCGCCATTTTCAATTGATATTGCCATAGTATATTTAATATTACCACTTAAATTAGAAACATTTCTAGTGACAATTCTATAATTACTATATAATTCTGTAACAAGATATATTATTTCAATAATATTAGGTATCATAAGGCTTTTTAACTAAGTTTCAAGTAATAATAAACAAGATTTATTAATGATGCCTTTAAAAATTATCCCCAATTATAAACACATTTATTTATTGTGGCTACACCATGATTTCTATTTTAAAAGCTGGTACATAGATGGCACTGTAAAGTAAAAAAAAAATCGAGTTCTAAGTTTGCATAGCATGTGACTGACATAATAATAGTAGTAGTATTATAATTCGTCCATGGGACAGGCGAAGGAACTAAGCCATACAGCCAAATCTTGGGTCTGACATAATAATAATCTGGTGCTACTGCTGACTGTTGATTAGGGATGTCAAGTAAGCTCGAACTATTACATTTGTAATCGATGCGTTTGAAACGAATAACTCACTAGAGTAAATTATTTATGCTTGATAGATGGCATGAATTTAATATAATAAAAAAATGTAATAAATAAACATCAGTGTTTGTTTAAAACCGCGCCCATTACCGCTGAATCGACTTCAGCACGCGATGCATCACAACCGAAATCGAAAACGGGTGGAAGTAAGATATCATATGGGTGAACCCGAGATAATTTACATTTGAGTACAGGAAAATGGCTTCATGCTTTCCTATCCTCTGTTTCACGTGCTGCTCAAACAAATCTACGGTGAGCCGATAACGCATTTCGATTCAATACGACTCGATACACCTATAGTGTCGATGGACCTTAGTTAGCTATAGTTATATTGCTCTAGGTTGACATATGTCAAAGCCTTAGTCAAAAAGTGTATTTTTGGATATTTTGGTCATCTCTCATCATCCCATTCTTTTTGTCAAAAAATATTGTATAATGCTTTAATTCGAAATCATTTGGACTATGACTCATTTCATTTGGAACCTTGTATGAAATCATCGTTAAAAGCGCTTGACAAGATTCAATACAAGTATCTCCGTATTTTTAAGGGAGCTAAAAAATCTTCTCCTCTCAATGCTATACAAGCTCTAAACCCCTATTTAAATTCGAAGACAATACCTATCAGTAAGATACTTTTTCAAAATTATACAGAAATCGAATCTCCCACTTATTAACAAATTACATTTACTTTTAGAATGAGGAAGTATTTAAATAAAAACGAAAGCACTGAAAAGCACCTCCACTAGATGGCGACTCTAGCAAAAGTTGGTTATTGCAGGAAACGAATGGACCAAAGACAGTCATTACCGTTCCTTTTAAATAACATATTAAAAACTAAAACTTGAAAAGTTCGAAACTTAGATATCAATACAAATACGAAAAAGTACAAATAGAATATGAGTTGTATATTGAGTTTTGGAAACTAATTTACTTTTAAACTTAAAAGAAAAACGGATAGGTTGCCATGGAGAAATCAAGAAGATAGCGTAGCGACATCTAGTTTCATTTCAGGAACTAATGTTTCTTTTTAAATACTTCCTCATTCATATCTCATGACATGTTCTGGAAACATAATAACACCTTGTTTATTTCGTAGCTTCCTATGCTTTATCAGACTTCCCTGTCCTGTCCAATGTTCGATTCTCCCATTATTCAATTATTCATTCAACTCTCTCATATATCGTCCTAACAACTTGTTAGATGTCAACAACAACTTGATTGATGTGATCAATAAAAATTGGAGCGATTGGCTCGTAGTTTATACCGATGCTTCAAAACTGTCTAATGCAGAATATATAGGTTCTATTGTGTGGCCTAAATATGAACGTCTGACACGTCTCTTTTCACTGGAGAGGCAATCGCTATCCTTGAGGTGATTATGTATATTGAGTCACATAATTTGGATTAGACTATAATTTTCACAGGTTCCAAAAGTTGCCTTCATGCTAATAAGAGACGTTCTATTTATATGACATATAAAAAAAATAAGAGTCCTCATAGCCTGGATTCCAAGCCATTTCGGTATGGTGGGCAATGAGACAGTTGATTCAATTGAAAAAAATGCAGCTAATATCGGTAACATTTCCCATCCCGAAGTTTTCTCCTAGGACCTAATTTCCTTGGCAGTCAAACGGAGTTCATGTTCATGGAATGCTCAATGTAAAGCGTCAGGTAAAAATGTAGAAAGTCAAACAAATTTTTTCAATTGTCCTAAATATCCCTCTTCCTTGTATGACGTCATTCCCTCATATATTCCCAAACCCACAAATTTTAAAACCGTCTTAAGATATATTAACTCTCCGTTTGTAATATCATCATTTCATGTAATTATAATCATTTTATGTAATTATATTAAGATTAATAACATACGTCTTTGATTTGTCTATCATGGAATTTTCTAACATTGGTAATACTTAAGTTATGTTAGTCCCTTTCAGGTAGGTAAAATTTAACTTCAACAAAATTCTTAATTTAACTTGGGCTTTCACTACCACCATTCAAAAAGCAGAATTTATAAAATATAAAAAAATTAAATAAACTGAGCGAAACACTGGATAGCGAAATTTACAAGGGCAACGCCATTAATTAAAAAGAATGTATTTTGCTCTGTGGTTTGTTTACTCGGCGCATGTTTAGGTTATTTTTTAAATTTCAAATAAAAAGGTTATTTTAAGAGGTTATTTAAATCACTAATACTTAGCTTAGTATTTTATTGAAAAATACAATGTGGACTACAAAAACATTTTTGACAAAAACAAAACGTGGGAATATATTAAAGGTAATTTTACAATCATTTTAATGATGAGAAAAATACATAATTTTATTTAACTAATTTCATTAATATAGTACATTATTTAGTAAATATATAAAAATCAACAAATAAGATTATAGGTTAAAACAGCGTTGCACAAACGTCCCATACAAATTTGACATTTATTAGAGCTTAAAGGCGTCATTAAACCTTAATGGACGTTTATGCAACTGACTGATAGTGTTTAAATTTCTTGTCCTTTTTATTAAATTATCAATTACGTTCATCTATTCCAAAATTTAAGGAAAATATGTCATTTCATTCATAATATTTGCACAAGATATTAAGTATATTTTATTTTATCATATATATAATTCTAGGTAGTCCGAGAGCATTATTTACGAGATGACCTACTATGTGGATCAAATGCTTGTAATGTATGCCCACATAAAGACGATGAATATGTGTTGGATTCAATACCTGAGTCAATATGTGCTCTTTTTGACTTTCCACACTATTTATTACTTGACACAAATGTGGTTCTCCATCAAATTGATGTGCTTGAAGAAGATGCATTGAAAAATGTAATAATTCTGCAAACAGTACTTGAGGAGGTCAAACATCAAAATACAGCTATATTTCAAAGGCTTCTTGAAATTATTCATGATAAAAAAAGAAAATTCTATTCATTTGTTAATGAACATCATAAGTAAGTGAACTTGTTACATCATGATCACCCTATTATTGTCAGATCTGTTGAGTTCTTCCTTTTACTAGATAGAAACATACAAGAAATGTGATATTAATTAGAGCTTAAAGGCATCATTAAACCTTAATAGATGTTTGTGCAATTGACCGATTAACTGATAAATAAAATTATACATTAATTTAATATTTACATAAGAAGTTTTTTAAATTATGAAGCATTTGACCAATTATTAGCTTATATAGTAATGTGGTGGGGTTAGAGTGGGTACACTTTCTGTACTTCTCACTGATGTGCAACATTATGACTTACTAGATTTTGAGGTCACAGTAAATTTAATTAAGCTTTCATTATTGCATTCATAATGCTATATCAATAATAAATCCAATTGTGTTCATATTGTATTGTTTTTTTCTAATAACTTGTGTAAGAACAGTTATAAAAGTGAGTCTAATATGTAAGTTAAAATTTAAAAACAATAATGTATAGAAATTATTACTTAGTGATATTTTATAAATAGCTGGCCTATTCTGAAGTTTTGAGCAGGTGGTTGTGTCAGCACTCACCATAATTTTTTTAAAATTATTATTTTCCAGAGATACATATGTAGAGCGTAGCCCTGGTGAAAAACAAAATGATAGAAATGATAGAGCTATAAGGAAAGCAGTTACTTGGTATACTTCTCATTTGTCCATAAATAATGTTTCTGGACAATTTCCACAAATAATTCTATTGACCGACGATGAAAATAATAGGAAGATTGCACAAGAGGAAGGGATTATATGCTGTTCAGGTATTCTATGGTTAAGATTTATTTACTTGTTAAATGTAGTAAAATTGTAAACATTCACTAAAATTATTATAATCTGAAATATGGTCAGTTGCACAAATATGAGTTATGTTTTAACTATGCCTTTAAGCTCTAATGAATATCAAATTTATATGGGTAATGTCGCTTAAAACTAATGAAAATTTTAATGGACATTTGTGTAGCTGCCTGTAAATCTGGTAATTTAAAAGTAATAATAACTAGTCTCCATCATCTATTCAGGTTGACTAGTACTCAGGCATTCTGCCTTAGGTAGTCTGTGTTAGGCATTCTGCCTTAGGCACTAAGTCCTCTTTTATTTTGTTAATGTAAAAAATAATCTAAATTATAGGGTACCTTATTATCCAACAAGGCTGATTGTAAATTTTGATATTTTTATAATATTGATATTACAAATAACAGCCTTGATCTAATAGTCATTACTTATTAATAGTGTTTTGATTCTGAGAATCAGTTTTATCTTTTTATCTTAAAACAAAAACATGGATCCTTATTGTAGATATTATTTTTTTCAATAAAATTGGTAAACAAATAATATTTGTATAAACAATTTCAAACTGCACTTACTATATGAAATAGTTTTTTATTTCAGTTAAAGATTATGTTGAAAATGTGAATGGTTTTGTTGGTCTCGTTGATAAACTCTCTAAGAATGTTATACCTGAGAGCTGTTCTAAAGATGCTTTGTATCCTGCTCACCTGACTCCAACACAAATACACACAGGAATTCGTAATGGAAAGCTGTATCAGGGTACATTTCATGCTTCTAGAGACAATTTCCTTGAAGGAACAGTTTCTGTTAATGGCTTTGAAAAACCTGTAAGTACATTTTACTGTTTATGATAAATTTGTTAATTCAGTTTTTCTATTGTTATTTGTTCTTATTTTGAATTTTTGCTGCAGATTCTTTTGCAAGGTCACATTGGTATAAACAGAGCCGTTGATGGCGACACTGTTGCTATTGAAGTATTTCCCAAAGAAGAATGGCGAAGACCAAGTGATATAGTACTTGAAGATAAGGCTGACGATCCTGGTGATTTGCTGGAAGAAGAATCTGTTCTGCTGAGCTCAGCTAAACCAGCAGATAATAGCAAAGACGAGATAACTCCGACTGGAAAAGTTGTAGGCATTATTAGGCGCAAATGGAGACAGTACTGTGGAATATTGCTGCCTAGTAAATTTCCAGGTGAATAATTAACGCTTATATTTATTGACAGTAAAATATAAATTGTGTGTTTATCATCAGCCCTTTTACGTCCAGGTTCACTGCAGGGGCTCAGGCCTTCCTGATGGATGGTTAAGGAGGATGGGCCATGACCCTCCACGCTGGCCCAATGCGGATAGGAGGATTTTAACGACTGCAAATGCAGCCGGGACCAACGGTTTAACGTGCCTTCCGAAGCACGGAGTAACTCGAGATAATAATTTTTTGGTCACCCATCCCGTGACCGACCCTTGCGAAAGTTTCTTAACGACAACGATCGCGGGCCGCGGCGCTTGTCCACTACGCCACCGAGCTACTCAAAATTGTGTGTACTGAATAATAAATAAATAAATGCTGAAAAAGTATAATATTCAATTCACATTGCATATTAGGAATATCAAAAAAAAAAAAAAATTTTAGGAGCACTTAACAACCACTGGTTAAAAGACGATATAATTTGGGAATCTCTGAACTCATATTGCCAACCATTGATTGATCAATGATGGAGTGTCTTCACTCTCTTTGTCCCTTATTCATATGTTGGAGTTGCTGTTTCATTACTGCGTCAAAAAGGTATCTAGTTCAGCATTTGTCAATAGAACTGATGTTGATTTTCAAATAAACCCTTTTCGTCTATTGACACATGGATGCCACACAGTATAAACTACGTACATAGTATTGAAAATAGTGTATTTTATATAGTTATAGACAGCGGACAAACGGGCATAGGCACAGGACAACAGCAATAGTATTCTAAGAACATTATGTTGCCAATACACATTTCCAATCTTAAGCATTTCTCAGTTCTATTACTGACATAGCGTTCAAGTTAATACTTATTATACTAATAAACGAGCCTTAGTTGCTTAATAAATGAATTTTATTATAATTATAGGTGCTACTCGTCATTTATTCACACCGGCTGAGAAGCGCATACCGCGTGTTCGAATCGAGACGCGTCAAAGTGACATACTTTCATCTCAACGGATACTAGTTGCGCTAGATTCCTGGCCTAGAAACAGCAGATATCCTCTAGGGCATTTCGTCAGAGCCCTAGGACAAATAGGTAAGAATTACAGAATAGCTAAAATGACAGAATAGGGGTGTAGACAACTTATTTTTTAATATTTTTATATTATATACATGAAATATATTTAAAAAATATATAAAATTTCGCTATGAAGTCACGCCCCTATTAAAACTAATATCGTCTTATGTATGCGTTAGGTTTAATTCACTAAGTTCTGATATGAGTAGAGGGACGTGATGTCACGCGCTGTATACGGTCATCAATTTAAGCAATATTATAAAGATGATAAGCATAAAAGTATGATTATCGGTAAATTAAATACTACCAGAAATAAAAATTGATAATTATCAGATGTATATAAGTTTATATTGTTTATTAAATAGGTGACAAAGATGCTGAAAATGAAGTGATACTTCTAGAACATGATGTGCCTCATGCCAGATTTAGTGAAGCAGTTTTGGCTTGTTTACCGCCCAACGATTGGACTATCCCTGAAGAAGTAAGAGTGTTGAGTGATTATTTTATTATTACAACAGATCGTCCCAATAATCTTGAAATTTTTGAAGGATTACTATTGTTATCATCAAAGCTGGACTCGTAAAGTTGACTTGACCAATTATAGAGGGAAAAAGAGACCCACTCACATAGCTTACGTAAAAATAAAATGTTATCTTATGTTCGAAATAATCTTGTATTTCTTGATTTACCCGATATACAAGGCGCGTGTGGAATAACTTAGTAATGTGGAGAACTCCAGAAATATAAGGTAAAAGTTAGCAATCGCAAATTTCATAATTATTCTAATTAATGATGTTTCTAGTTAATGAGTATGAAAGTTTATAAAAACAAATAGATCATAATCCTTAATTGCTGCAACTTTGTCCATATGAACAGGAAATAAAAAAACGTGTAGACCTCCGTTCTGTATGCATCTGTTCCGTTGACCCTCCGGGCTGTACCGATATCGATGACGCGTTGCACGCCCGTCCAATAGAGGGCGTTACTACCGACGGATTGAAGAAGTACGAGGTGGGCGTCCATATTGCTGACGTCACATATTTCGTCCGCCCCAACACGGCTTTGGATAAAGAAGCGGCTTCTAGGTCTACTACTGTTTATTTGGTGGATAGGCGAATCGATATGGTGCCTGGTAAGTATAAAAAAAGTAATTAAATGTTTTAATTTTTGTTTGTTCTTATCAAATTTTTTCTTATTTCATTTACAGATTTACTGAGTTCTAATTTGTGTTCGCTTCGCGGGGGAGAGGAGAGGTTGGCATTTTCATGCGTCTGGGAAATCGACGAGAATGCGAATGTTTTATTTACAAAGTTCCATAAAAGCGTTATAAAGGTAATACGAGAAATCGTTTTCCAACCAACTTATTTAGTATGATTATTACATATAGCCAGTTTGCCACTCATACATATAAATACACATACAAACTGGTGATGTTTCACGCATAAATTAATAAAACAATACTAATTAAATAGCGTAAAATATCAGAATATCATATTCCCAAAATATAATAATAGTATGTGGAAAACCGTAATCCCAAAATCCCTCAATATATTTATGAAACTATCACTATTGCATCAATGTTAACAATAGCACATATCTGTATTTAGTCGGCAGCAGCAATGACTTATGAAGAGGCACAAAATGCGATCGACGACGAGTCAAGAAAGGATGTTATAGTGCAATCTCTGCGTACTCTGAATATGCTGGCGAAGAAACTCAAACAGAAACGCCTCGACAATGGCGCCTTGTTGCTTGCCTCGCCAGAAATACGGTTTCAGGTGAGACTATTTTGTTATATTCTGTGACCTTGGTGAAAAATATTGTCAGGAAATCGAGGTTGTAGCTCGTATCCCACAGAAAATGTAACTAAAATGTCTAATATATAAAGCTGACATTCGATCCTTGTAGAAACCAGAGAATAAAATTGATGTAAAATTAAATTATGGATAAAAGCCATCATCAAGTACCTCTTGCCTTATATGGGACATCACATATGCTTATGGATGTTTTATTCATTGATATTTTCATGGAATTATTACAGTTGGATATTTAGCTGTAAGTTTGTAAATCTGTTAAATCGCATACCTAGATGTAAAGGAAGGTAACTCTAAAAATCAATATATTTTTACATGCAATTTCTTATCTCACCCTTATTGATCAATTAAAGAGAAATGAAAATAATGAGTCGAGTATTCCTTTTTTGATGGTGGTATTCTCGATTTGATATTCTTGAAACTTTAAACAGAATTTATGAATTTTTGTCATTTTGATGGTTAATGCTGAGTTATCGCTATAGTCTATCTATATCTTAACGCCATATCTCTTGCGGGGTAGGAATTGAGGACTGAACGCCACAAAACAATCCTTAAATACATGACTCGCCTCGCTCACTTTCATTACTCTTTTCATACACACTCGCCGGTTTTTTTGGCTATATCATTACCATCTAACAGCACGCGATTGATTTCATCGTGAAATATGTGTCTGGCCTTCCTCGGCTATCGTTGTAGTAATACATACAAAACAGATTTAAAGTTGAACCCGTATTGCCAGCAGGGTGAAAAGTAAAAAATAACCTAGGATCAACTCAAATTAAATAAATCAAGGACATTGGAATAACTAGAAAAGTTCAATTTACTGAGTTGGACTTATTAAGACCTAGATGTGTGATTTGTGCTTGTACAGGTTGATTCTGAGACGCACGATCCCGTGGAAGTTCAGGCGAAGAAGATAATGGACACAAATTCTATGGTGGAAGAGTTCATGTTACTAGCTAACGTTAGTGTGGCGGAGAAGTTGGCGGAGGAATTTCCGCAGTGCGCACTTTTACGACGTCATCCCGCCCCTCCGCCCGCTAACTTCACCACTTTTCTGAAAGCTACTACCCAGCAGGTATATATTTTTTTATATATATTGTGTACATATAATCAATAGCACGTCAGGCTATAGCTATTGTCTCTACCAGTTTTTTTTTTGTCTTAAAATATTGAGGTTAGGGTTCAAAATCAACTGAGGAAATTGAATATATTGTGGTACTTGATGTAATGAGGAATAAAGAGATAGTTCTTAAAAATATTGCCAAATGATATGAAAATTGTAATTGTGCCTTAAGGTTTTAAAATATAGTAATGTTGACGACAGCCACGTGCCGAAAAATGTACAGATCGAACGACCAATCACAGCGCCTACATTTGCGGAATTCTCAGAGAGCCCATTGGCTGCGTAGGCGCCGTCCGCACGGTGGGGGCGATTCCCCCACCCGGCGCGCGGGCGCAAAACGCGCTGTGATTGGTCGGCCGCCGCGCGTCACTAGTATCTAAGTTAGATGTTAAGTTTAGAATAAGGGTAGGGCCAAATTTGTAAATATTAGTAGTCAGTCAAGCAGTTCAGGAAGAAGTCAATCAGCAGTAGCAGTTAAGTCAACTAGTCAGTAAGAAGAAAAATAAATCGTCAATAGAAAAATCCGTCTTTGTTTTGCACCATCATCAACAGTTATACAGCATCGTCTACAGTTTTGGTCTTTCGAGAAGCCGGATCTAAACACGTATAGAACCTCCGAGATCCAGCAAACAGTGAATCAAGATGGTGCTTACAAGAAGCCAAGACGAAGAAAACCAACGTCGTGTCTTCGACCAGCCGCCGAGATCGCCCTCAAGTACACCGACCGTACGAGGACGCCTCGAGACGGGTAACGCCGGGGAGAGCCTACGCACCGCACCGCAAGTCTCGCAACTAGCGCCTAACGCGAACCGCGCTGGGGCAGACGTTGCCGGAGCACGCGTCGCCTTGGCAGTGACTACGCAGCCGCCGAGCGGAGCGGACGAACGCGCAGCACACCCAATGGACACAGCGGCGACTACTGGCATAACTACATCTGCGATGACGTCATCGGTGCAACCGGCGAGGAGAGTGCACGTCGCGCGTTCGACCCGCTCGGCAGCGAGCAACGCGGCACGCCGGAAGCTACGCATCGAGGCAGAAGAACGACTGGCTGCCATAAGACGCCGAGAACTCGAAATTGAAGCGGACCTCATAAAAAAGACGCTCAATATCGAGTTAGAAACGCTAGACGGAGCAGAGAGCGAACCCGAAGCTGAAGAACCGGCAAATAAATTGCAAGATCGAGTGTTCGAGTGGCTCGACGACGCGAACGTCGACCAACAACGGGGGGAGCTCTCAAGGACCGCCGTGGCTGAACCGCCACCTGAACGCGACACGCGACGCCCAGATAGGGAAGAACGAAGACGGTCGTCATCGCGAGGCAGTGGCATCGATCAACTCGCCTCTGTCCTCGAAACCCTTGTGAAGTCACGACCGCCGCCGCGTCAAGCATCGGATCTACCGATATTCTCTGGTTCACCGCTGGAATGGCTACAGTTCGCGACTGCGATGCGAGAAACAACGCGGCTGTACGAATTCACACCTACAGAGAATATGGCAAGACTGAGAAACTGCCTACGTGGAGAAGCTCGGGAAAACGTCGCATCATTGTTGAGCACCGCGACGCACCCCGACGAGATCATGCGAACTCTGGAGCAATGCTACGGAAGGCCAGAAAGACTAGTGGACATGGCTTTCGCCGATCTACGGAAGCTGCCGAAGATTGGACCTACCGCGAACGATCTTAACATGTTTGCGGTAAAGCTACAGAACGTCGTGGCCGTCCTGAGGAACGTGCAGCCAGAGTACCTGCTTAACGCACTGCTGACCCGGGAAGTCTTAGACAAGATGCCAAGTTACCTTGTATCGAGTTGGTGCAACTTCGCCGAGTCACAGCCGGGCCCGAACGCCGATCTACTCAAACTTTCATCGTTCTTGATGAAGGAAGCTGACCGCTGCATGCGATACAACTATGTATCGAACCTCACCGCACCCTCCACATCGCAACGAACACGAGAAACGCCTCGCCCCGCCCCCAGACCGGAGGCTAAGAAGAAGACGGTGTACGTCGCCACCGAAGAAGCACCGCAGCACAGATGCCTTTCGTGCCAGGAAGCCCACACACTACCTAGCTGCCCAAAGTTCAAGCAGCTAAACTATGATGACCGATGGGAGCTGGTGAAGAAGGAGGGGCTCTGCTTCAAATGCATCGTGGGTCGCCACCGTCGATTGAACTGCCGACAGAAACTCTGCGGAATCAATGGATGCAAGCGACCGCATCACCGTCTGTTGCACGCAGATGAGCGTGGAACGACGAACGACGTGGCTACGAGCGCGACCGACTCAAACGCGGCCGCAACGGAACCAGCCACGGCTACCACGACGACGGCTGCCACGACGACAAGCCGCGCCGTCAAATTGAAGATTTGCCCCGTGACAATCACGGGCAAACGTGGGAGCTGCGACACCTACGCGCTCTTCGACGAAGGCTCGACGGTCACCTTATTAGACGACGACCTGGCGCGACAGATCGGCGCCGAAGGACCGACCGCACAGCTCAACGTCCGAGGAATAAACAAGAAGCAAAGTCACGTGCAGAGCCGTCGATTCACTCGGAGTATCGCTCGACGCATCACACGTCCGCGAAGAGGACAAGCGTGCCGTCTCCACGTTCGAACGCACCGTGAAGCACAAGGACGGCAGATACGAGGTGGGCCTGCCTTGGCGAAACGACGACGCCAATCTGCCACGGAGTTACGACTCAGCACTCCGCCGGCTCACAAATCTGGAAAACAAGTTGAGAAAAGATCCACGCGACATGAAGGAATACCAGCGGAGGATCGACAACCTACTAGAAAAAGGATACGCCGAACCCTGCGACGGCTCCGAGGACGCAAGCCCCGTCGCATGGTACCTGCCGCATTTCGCCGTCAAGAATCCCAATAAGCCCGGGAAGTTGGGACTGGTTTTCGACGCAGCAGCAAGAATTCGAGGTGTCAGCCTGAACGATCACCTACTCGAAGGGCCGGATCTGCTACGATCGCTGCAGACCATTTTATTCCGGTTCCGAGAGGGCGCATACGCGGTGACAGCTGACATCGAGGAAATGTTCCTGCGGATCAAGATACGCCGCGAGGACCAACCCGCACAGATGTTCCTGTGGCGCGACTGCAGGCAGAATGAACCACCGCGCAAGCTGAAGATGACATCGATGATCTTCGGCGCATCGAGCTCACCGTTCCTCGCACACAGCGTGAGGGACCACAACGCGAGACAGCATGCTGAGACACACCCTGCAGCACTGCGTGCAATCACCGAAGCGCACTACATGGATGACTTCGTCGACAGCTTCAATGATCCGAGAGAGGCCCACGAAGTCATCACCCAAGTCGACGCAGTGCACCATAAGGCTGGATTCCACCTGAGGGGATGGAACAGCAACAACAGGAAGCTACTACAAGCCGTGAACCCGGATAGTAGAGCCAAAAGCGGGACGACGACGTTTGGAGACGCAGAGAAGACATTGGGCCTGCTTTGGGATGCGAGTACCGATCGGCTGGGCTTCAACACTGCCCTGCCTAGAGTCCCACTGCCGGTGAAGTCTCGACAACGCCCGTCGACGAAAAGAGAAGCATTATCGACGGTGATGAGCATATACGACCCGCTCGGACTGCTCAGCTGCTTCACAATCACGGCGAAGATAACTCTTCAAAAACTATGGCGCCTCAAGACCGGCTGGGACGACCCTCTACCATCCGACTTGAGCGAAGACTTCGATACATGGTTGGCAAGCCTGCCAGCAATCGACCAACTACGGCTACCCCGTAGTAACAACGGGGGGAGAGAAGTGCGTCGCCGTGAACTTCATATATTATGCGACGCCAGCGAAGAGGCCTACGCAACGGCGGCGTATTGGAGATTGCATTACGGAGCCGGCCATGTCATCGAAAGAGTTCTGATAGCGGCAAGAGCTAAGGTCGCGCCCTTGAAGACCCACACCGTACCGCGCCTGGAACTTCAAGCGGCCCTCATCGGAACGCGACTAGCGAAAGCAATCAGAGAAGAACACCGTGTCAACGTCGACGACACCGTGTACTGGAGCGACTCTCAGACGGTGCTTCATTGGCTGCGGAATGGAAGCAAGCGCTACACTCCATTCGTCGCACACCGTCTGGGAGAAATAACCGAGTTATCCAGACCGCAAGACTGGCGATGGATACCGACGCATCTGAACGTAGCCGACGTCGCCACACGCGCCGGATATACGCCAGCCAACGAAAACGACCTGTGGTTCACGGGACCATCCTTCTTGAAATTACCAAGATCGAAATGGCCGAAGCAACCAACGGATCGAGAAGATGACGAAACGACGGAAATAACACACGTCATCGCGCACACAACAGAGAGAAACGCGGCGTTACCGGAGATAGAAAGATTCTCGACGTTCGAGCGACTGATCGGCGCGACAGCACAAGCGCTACTCTTCGTGGAAAGATGTCGCGACAGAACGAAGACACTCAGCCGCGAACATCTCAACCGAGCGACAAATTTATGGCTGCAGCAGGCGCAACAAGACTCCTTCAGCCAAGAAATCGAGTGCCTGAAGAAGGGAGTCCCCGTAGCACGAACGAGCCCTCTGCACCGTTACGACCTCACTTGGGAAGACGGGCTTGTGAAACTAAACGGACGCATCAATAAGGCGGACGTACCGGAAACAGCGAAGAAGCCGGTATTATTGGACGGACGCCACGAACTCGCGAAGAAAATTATTGATCGAGAGCACAGACGAGCGGGACACTGCAACAACGAGCGAGTGGTCAACGACGTCAGGCAGCAGTACTGGATCCTGCGGCTGCGACCAACCGTTAAGAAAGTCGCAGCAGGCTGCCTGATGTGTCGACTACGAAGATCGAAGCCAAGGAGCCCGCCGACGAGGGATCTACCCTCAGAACGTTTACAGCCCTTCAGACGTCCCTTTAGTCATTGTGGGATAGATTACTTCGGGCCAGTCACCATCAAAATTGGACGACGACGAGAAAAAAGATGGGTGGCGTTATTTACCTGTCTAACGATACGCGCCGTGCACCTGGAGCTGGTGGCATCACTCACCACTGTCTCCGCAATCATGGCGCTGCGAAGAATGGCAGCACGACGAGGATGGCCCGCCGTAATATATAGTGACAACGGCACTAACTTCCGAGGGGCTGACACCGAGCTCAAGAAGGCGTACACCGAGTGGCTTCCCGAGCTAAAGAGAGAGGCGATGAACTACGATGCCACATGGAAATTCATCGCGCCGGGAGCACCTAACCAAGGCGGAGCCTGGGAACGCATGGTTCGCTCCGTGAAAACCGCGCTCAACGCAACATTAAAGGAACGAGCACCGAAGGAGGAAGTCCTGCACACTCTACTGGCCGAGGCGGAACATGCTGTCAATTCACGACCATTGACGCATGTCTCCGTAGACCCAAGCGATCCGGAGGCGCTAACCCCAAACCACTTCTTGTTGGGGTCATCGACCGGCCTTCCATACACCGGGCCATGTGAAGAGGGCGACCGCAGGACAGTAAGTAAGAAGAAAAATAAATCGTCAATAGAAAAATCCGTCTTTGTTTTGCACCATCATCAACAGTTATACAGCATCGTCTACAAGTAAAGATTTTATTTCAAATATATAATTATTTTTGTATTTAATATAGGTTTTTAGTTTTATGCGTGATTCTATAAGTTCTTTAACAATAAAGAATATATAATAAAATAATGAATATGTCATAAACATAAATCAACTTTTTTAAAACTCACACATGTAAATTCGATTGGGAGCACACAAGTTGCCCAAATAATATGTTATATAGTTTGACAACTACGAAGGACTGTAGGCATTCCTTTGTGTACCGATTTTAAATTTTAGTAGGTAGTTGCTATTTAAATAAATATTGAAAATTTCACAATGGCACACTTGTTGAACTACTTTAGAAAATGAAAAAAAATTACACTTCAGTTACCACAGTCACTCGTAAAGACCGATGCTGAGTCTAGTTAGTCTGCGTCGGCTATTTAGTAGATGTGAGGGGTTTTCTGGTTTGAATTAAAGCTTTGTTTTGATAAATGCAGCCTTTCACAAACTAGCTCTTAAGCTATAAACAGTATTATTGCTTATAATATTTTTGTGGCTGCTCTCAAGAACATCTTACTGTGTTTTGTGGCGGTTAACACAAATAAGGATGTAGACACTAAACTTTTTTTTTTCTAGTTGAATATACTATAACCGATTATCAGACTTATGCTTATTATATTTATAATATTGCTTAGACTGATTATAACAAATATTTTATGCTTGTTATCACGTGACTGCAAATAGCGCGTGTCGTCACATCCTTCTTACTCATATCAGAACTAAGAGAATTCAACCTTATGTAACGATAACCGTTTCAGAGTGCCATTTTCGCGGGAAATTTACAAAATATAAATTATTTTTAGATTTTAACTTATAATATGAATTATATTTTAAATATTTTGTAGATATATATATATCCTTTAAATAAAAATATATAAAAAAAATGTTTTTTCCAGGGTTTCGAAATCGACGTATCCACAAACAAATCATTCTCGAAATCTTTGGACGAAGCTGTGTTGCCAGATCGTCCATTTTTCAATACGTTGTTGCGCATCATGGCGACGCGTTGTATGCAACAAGCCGTATACTTCTCCAGCGGAACACTCTCGCATCCAGAATATTATCACTACGGATTGGCATGCCCTATTTACACACATTTCACTTCGCCTATAAGACGGTTAGTAACAATTTTTATATATAAAAATAATTTACTCATTGTGTTTGTTCGTTAGATTTAATGATTTTTTGAGTATTGTATAGTAATACTGAAAAATATTATTAACAGTAAGAGCAGAAACAGTGGAACATAGATAATATGTTTCTATGTACCACTGTTTCTGTTCTTACTGTTAGGACACTGAATATTCCCACATATTTTTCATAACATGCTATCCACAAGTAACTGCTTAAGCAAAATCAACTTAACTGTGATTGCATTAAGACTCAAATTTGATATAATACGAACCTTAGTGTACAAGGCAATATAACAAGTCAAATATCATTTTGGTTGTCTTTGTAAATATAAGGATTTTTTTTTGTGTATGGAAATGTCCATATTCATATACAGTATGTTTACGTCGCAATATTATTGACATACATACTTAATTGTTTTTTTGTTTATTTTAAAAGTAGTTAATTTTTTTTTAATTTAGAATAATAAAAATTCGGTTAAACTGAAATAATGCAAATGCGTAGAAATTGTTAATATACTAATATTATAAAGAAGTAAAAATATCTAACTTTGTTATTGAAATACCGATACGATCATGAAAATTCTTTCACCTACGGGAAGCTATATTTTATTTTATAGCTAGTATTAGGGGTCAAAGTATGAAATTGCCGTTTTATTCTAATAGGTTCTTTGAATTGATATAGAATCTTCATGGTTTGAGGTTTTCGAAAGAAACTTTTTTCACATGGTTTCTATGATGTTTTTCTTTTAAAAAATGTGAAACATTTGAATATCCGCTTTATATATATCGAAGACCGCTCACACAGGTGAATAACGATGAATTACGAGAGATGGTGGAAGTCAAATCTAGTCAAACTGTTCAGGAATTAGCGGCACGATTTAACGTTACCTTACCCACAATATTGACTCATTTGCGTCAAATCAATAAAATAAAAAAATACCAAAAATGGGTGCCTCATGATTTGACTGATCTGCAGAAAGAAACGCGTAATGAAACTCGTGTTGCCTTGTTGAATCGGTACAGAAATGAAGGAATATTGGATCTCATTGTGACATGTGATGAAAAGTGGATTCTTTATGATAACCGTAAAAGAAAAATGCAATGGCTGACCCCAGGTCAAATGCCATAACAGTGTCCTAAAGCTAAATTTACCAATAAAAAGGTAATGGTAACTGTTAGGTGGCCTCAGCATGGTGTTATCCACTATAGTGTTTTCCGATCTGGTCAAGCAATAACGGCAGATGTCTATTGTGCCGAACTCGGAACAATATTTGCAAAACTAGCAGTAAAACAGCCCCGTCTCATAAATCGATCTTCACCATTATTGCTCATGATAACGCGAGACCTTATACAGCACGTGAAACCGTTTTGACCCTTCAGAAACTGCAGTTAGGAACCATTCGTCATCCTCCGTATTCGCCAGACCTAGCTCCAACGGACTACCATTTTTTCGTGATTTGGACAACTATATACGTGACAAGAAGTTTTCTTCCCAGGAGGCAGTACAAAATGCTTTCACACAATTTGTACAGTCTAGATCCTCAGAGTTCTATCGCATAGACATAAATGACCTTCCTATTAGATGGCAGCAATGTATATTTAAGAACCGTAAGATTGAAGGTGTGGTCCCTATTGTGGTGATGGAGACAACTGGCCAGGGAAACTAAAGCATAATTGTTTCCCTCCGAGCTAGGTGTTGTTAGCCCGGGGACCGCGGTCCTACCGATGTAGGTTGGACGTTCTTTTTATGTTAATTGGTAATTAAACTTATTCTGTGTGATGTAGGTTTCTTTGTTCTAAATGTCTTGTAGTTATTAATTTATGCTGTTTGTATTGGTACAGCGCCATCTCGTTACTTGCTGTTGAAACTTATTGCAGTTCGTCTTGCTATCGATGGCTGTGACGATGCTAGTCTTCTCGCTATCGATTGTTGTGGCGATGTTACTGCGATGAATTAGATGTCGCTATGTATCAGTCGCCACATATAGATAATAATGGTAACTATATTGATTTTCAGTACAAATCGGCAATTTCATACTTTAATCCCTATTAAAATGTTATGATATAGATGAATTGTTATAGAAACATTTTTGACGGTCAAAATTATGTAATTGTAACATTCCAGCGTTGGAACACTTTTCATTCCCCATCTTGGAAAGAGTATTTTTGCTTTTCCATATTTGCAAAAATTTAATTTTGACTACATCATGTTCATCATGTGAATTCAAAACATCATTAAACCTATTTACTTCTACCTCCAGAGGGCCTAATTTATCATACAAACTTTTTAATTTGTTATAAACTCAGACTCTGAACCTACTCGGTGTTATTTTAAATGTTTTCTTTGCATTTAGTAATTTCCTCGCTGAGGTAGAAAAGATACGTGTTGTACCTACTCGAGTTCAAAATTTTATCATCTCATTCTCTTTTGATTCCCTCGCTGACTCCAGGATTCTAATTTTTGAATAAATCCATTGCTTGCACGCAGTTAAAAAGCAACTTTGCACTATTGTATAGCAAATAAATAAAATCTTTGGCGTTTGTATCGGTGACATTAGTTATGCGGACGTGATCGTGCATCGTTTACTGGCAGCGTGTATAGGCGAGGATGTAACTCACGCGTCGCTATTGGACACGAAGCAAGCGGACGCAATCTGCGACAATCTCAACTACAGGCACAGGCAAGCGCAGTATGCGGGCCGAGCGTCTGTAGCTCTCAATACGCACGTGAGTTTATAACTACACTCGTACGAATTAAGATCTATTCTATTTGTCAAAAAATGAAATTTCAGTCAATATGATTCATCTGGTCTGCGGTTGTTAAGCAACATTAGCACTCGTAAAAAATATTATAGAATGTTTAGATAAAAAAAAAAATCACATTATTCTGATAGATTTGACCAAATCCTTTTATTGTATTTCCCAAGAAATCTTACTCCAGAAGTTAGAAAGTTACAGAATTAGAGGTAAACCATTTGACTGGATATCCATTTTTTTAAACAATTTTAAGAAATTATTTAAAAAAACAAGTATTAGTGCGACGAAATAAATAAAGTAATGGGTACATTATAAAGTAACTTTCTTTCTTAATATTGTCTAAACATATTCGGGGTTCCTCAAGGAAGTGTCTTGTTTGTATTTATTTGCGTTCATACAGAAAATCCAGAATCCAGAAATTCAGATATTACATAGTATTGGTAATAATTTAAATTAGTTTTTGCTTAAAATAGAATAATAACTAAGCATATTTTGAAGGCCGGAGAAATGTGTAATTTGTAAAAGGTTAAAGCAGCTGTCAAAACTCAGGATAATTGTGAGACTACTTTAAAAATTAATGTTAAAATCAAAGCTTTATTCTCATTATTCTAGCTCATAAAAACTTATCTGTTTAAATTTTTACATAGCAAATGAAATTATTCCGTAAATGATTATCTAAATGAATTTAAATAGTATGAACGTTATTTTACTAAAAAAATATTTAAATATTACAGATTCTTTTCAAGAATCGTGTCGAAATAGAGTCGGCAGTAGTGTTGTCGGTTAAGCGGAACGCTCTACAAGTACTTATACCGAAGTATGGACTCGAAGGACCATTGTACTTGCCATCTGAAAAATTCACTTATAATGAAGAGGTATGTATGCACAATTAGTTTATACTTGCATCTCTTAGAAACATTGGAGGAATGAATGAATCAATATAAATTAAATTAAAATAGGTTTACTTTTTGTATAGAAAAATATGTCGAAAATATTATAAGAAAATATAAAAATACGAAAGTTAAAACACATTACATGTCAAAATTCGAAAAGTGATGTTTATAGGGTTGCGTACGTTAAAAGAAAAATGGGTTCATTATAGAATTAATCGTGTGTCCATATGTCTGTCCGTCCGTCTGTCATAGTAAGAAAATATGATTTTTAAATTACTTATATGTATTTAGTGAAATATCAAATGGCTTATTGTAAAAATTTAAGAAGTTGAAGTTATGTAAGAAACAACGCGTAATTTGAACCACCCTTTCTCACCTCATCTCCAAAATATAACGGGCTAATATTGTTCTTTAAATATTACAGGCGACTATCATAAGTCGATGTTTAATATGTAGTTATTTTACGAACCCTCTATGCAAGTCTGTCTTGTTATTTACCGGTTTTTAGGGGTATAAACGGGACCGTATTACTAAGACTCAGCGGTCGGTACATCTGTCCTTCTGTCACCAGCCTTTATCTCATGAACCGCTAGACAGTTGAAAGATTAATAACGACAAAAAAAATAGAAGAAAATAAATTTTGAAGATTGGCTCCCTTACAACAAACGTGATTTTTTTAACGTTTTTTTTTATTTAAAGACAATGCAACGGAATCATTCACGTGCAAGCCCGATTTGCACTTGGCCGGTTGTTGTTAAATAATACCTACATATTTTTTTTATTTATTTGTTTTCTAGAGTTTTTACAGTGAAGCATGGTGAAGATATGTGTAGTTATTTTGTAAAACATTTTTTATTTATATATAGGAACATTACCAGATATGCGGCGACGTCACTTTAAAAACCTTCGACGAGTTGACAGTTCGATTGTCGTTAGACAGCACCAACCTACAACATCGCAAGTTAGTTTTTGAACTAGTCAAACCGCATGTGCCAGGTTTTAGTTATGAACCGGAACAAATGGAAGTGGAAACGATAACTCCAGATCAAGAGGTGAAGGAGACACCGATCAAGAAGAGGAAAGAGACAAAAGATAGTAAAGCTAAGAAAAAGTCTAAAAAACAATAAAAAATATGATATAACATTTCGTTTTTTTTTTCAAAAACCATTTTTAAAAAAATATCAAACCTTTATTCATTTTTCTCCATGAACACATTTGGTACGAAGTCTTTTACAAACAATGGTTACGCGTAATTCACATACACAATTCTTATCACATATAGCTATAGGATTATCCATTACATAATATTGCAGGTAACTGCAGTATTTATCTCTATATCTAAAGCTTTGGTTTTTCTTGCGTTCTCGTGATAATTGAATTTATCACATTTAATATGGAACCAATTTCATTATAGCTTAAATTAATTAACGATTCTTTCCTGGCAATAAAGAGAAACTTAGCAACGTACAGTGGTTCTACTAACTTCTCAAGCACTTTTCTAATAACGATTCTAAACAAGTGGCGAAACATTCTGAATTCTGAAAAATTTCAACAACTTGTTCTATCAAAGTTAAAATTATTTTAATCTAATACGATACATTTGTACGTCTTGATGACGTATGAAAAGGACCGACATTTCATTCTCGATTGAAAGCTTCACAAATCCCATCACATATTATGCGTAATACGTCTTCTTATTGGAGGAGGGCTAACTAGTTCTGTCGTCGGAGGCCTGAGAGAAGATGATGATTCTGGTCTAGATGGAAGTTCGTAGCTAACATTTGTTTCCGATTCTTTTGGCGTGAAGATCTGAGGAATGTTCTGCATTTGCGCTTGCGCCGATATGCGCGCTATCTCCTGGTCTACTTTGGCGACTAATTGTTCGATAGCCGCGGGCCACCGGACGGCGGGAACCGTGTGCGAGGGAGACAGACGCGCGTCTGTCATAACAGCGAGTCGAACTGTTTCAGCGTATTGGATCACAGTTAGAGACATACCTGTAAAATATTTGCCGATTAAAAATATATAATTTATAACTGCCGTACATTTAGTACAATGGTCAAGTGCTATGCAATTTGCAATACTTGAGTATTAAAAACGTATTAAAAAAGTCAACGTCGATTAAAAAATCGTTATCTGAATCATGATTAGAGTTTCAATTTTAAGGAGTCTCGTTATGTGGAAGATTAAGAACTCACTAATATTGGCCTGTGGTGGCCTCCAATAGATGACGCTATCCACTGTCTGGCCCCATAGGGTCTTTCGTTGTTTAGCATCCACTGGCGCATTGATTTCCGCATACGATACCGCGTATCGCCGCGAGAGCATGTTCAGCGTAAGTCTTGCGAACGGTGAAGGGACTGCCCTAGTGAGGGCCCCGCAGCGGGCTTGTGCCGCCCACGCTCCAGCCAATGCCTTCTGACGACTGCACGCCTGTTCCACAACTGAAGCGATTCGACGTGGCGTCGCTCCGATTGGAAGGGAGAGGCAAATCATACCTGAAAGACATGAGGGTCAGTTAATACGGTCTACACATTTCAGTGTAACAAAGAAATAATTTCTTGCTGCACGAATTCTGTTTCTGGCTTGTTAGGTTAGATTTCGCTATAATGCTGAAAGCATTAGTCTATTAAGAGCACAGAGAATGAGCCAAAACCCACGATTCGAGCCCAGTGAGGATTGCTGGGCGTTAACAACTGCAGATGCATTTGTGATCAACGGCATAACGTGCCTTTCGAAGCACGCTGCCAGATATAATAAAAATTTGCATTCGCAATATGAAGGTTCTCATTACGAGTTCCACACCTTGGATTTAAGTGTGATTAAATTAATGGAGAAAAGGGATAACATTGATTTAAATTTACATTAGATTGACAAAATATAGTAAGAAAAAAAAATGATTCTAAGTGTTTTCTGCATCTTTAATCTTGAATATTTTAACGGGCTGTCTAACTTACCCCCCGTGTGATATTTCTTATAATGTTTCCCGTTTCCTTCAGCAAAAGTGAATAGGAAATCTTCAGATGCAGCTCTGGCTGTAGTCAGTACCGTCTCAGGTGTGTCAGCTTGAGCCTGTTCGAAGAACGCGCGTAACGCGTCAGTAGCCGCGTACAGCGTTATATCAGTAGATGATACACCGAGCGCCCGTGCCGCTCTTTCTATACCCGCCCGCGGCACTGCTCTTGACCATGCTACTACCTATTAAGAAGGAACACGATAATGCTCACCAATTGGTATTGTGAGTTACTATTTAATATGTTATTGGATAAACTGAAAACCAAATGTAGTGCCATGAATTTTCGTTTGTGTAGATGATAGGATTCTAATGATGAACGATCATTAAATAACCGTTCTTGTTTATTCATTTAATAAAGAGGGTATTTTTTGTATATCAGATTGTTTTGCATTAAATAGGCTTTAAAACTACTGGGCCAATTTTAAAAATTATTTCACCTACGGGAAGCTACTGCATACGCGGGTAACACGATGAATGACTGATGATAGCCCGATACCGCGCTTTTTTTAATTAATCTGATCAGTATATTCAGGAAAGAGAACTCTGCACGATTAAGAGGTATTAGGAGATATTAGTAGCGTTTAGTGTTGTGACGGGTTTGGTGCTTAGGTGTTGGTAGTAAATGAAACGGCTGACTAGACTTGACACTTATCATTTCGACTAGATTTGATACTTATCAGTTTTTGATGAATAGAAAGAGCATATCGCGTTACGCGACATTTTAAATTACGAAAAGCGAATAATAAAAAAGAAATGATCTTAAAGGTCAAAGACAAAAAGGTTGGCTTTGGGAACCTATGAAAAAAAAACGGTGTGGTACGACGCACCGTTAAAGTGTACACTATTCCACCCTCGCATTAAACAAAGTTTATATAATTTTGAGGTTCCAACATACCTTTCTACCGCACAAAGACACAGTTTGTAGTAGATGACTCTTGCCGTCGTCTGCTCTAATTGTGTCTTCCCACAACTTTGCAGGCGCTCTGTAAATTTCGACTACGCCAGTGTACGCTTCCTGGAATGCTCGGGCGCATAACTGTGCTAATTCTGCATACTTCCATGTCAGCGTATGCATTTCTTTCACATGACCATTTTTTCTTAATTGATTTAAAGCTACGATTTCATCACGTAATCTCAAAGGGAATTTTATAAAAGATACGATCGTCGATAAAGTGGCGTTGATTGTTTTTCGTGGCCATTTTCTAGGATCTGCTGTGACTAGAGGGGAGATGATAACCTTGAAATTGAAAAAAGAAAAAACATTTTAGTGAAATTCGTATTTACGATACCGTGTTAATATTATAATATTATTTATTCTAAAAATAAACTATTCATGTGGCAGTTGTTTTTTCTACACAAATATAGTATATAAAAGTGATCTTCCATCTGAATTATCGGAGAGTTAGCTAAGGTTATTAAATACTGGCAGATTTGTCAAGTAATATTGATTATACTATTAAAGAGCTTTCATTAACGTTTAAACACTTAAGACACAGGTGTAATAGGTGTGCTTTCCTAAGCAGACTGAATATTGAAACAAATATTTTTACAAATATTAAAGCTTACGATTAATATGCTTTTATAATTAATTATAATTTTTAATGCATCAGATTTGCCCCGCACTATATCTCTCGTTTCAAACCCGAGATGGTTGTTGTTTCGAATATTTTTTTAAGATTAAATTAATTTCTACGTGATTATCTATACTGTTTTTTGTTATTATATTTATAAATATTGAGATGAAAATGTTACCTTTGGTATGGTTAAATTCCTTCTTTTACATTCCCGTTGCACTGCCGCCAAAAATGAAATGGCTGTAATAGGAGTTTCAGAGCCAGCGCGACTGGATCTCTTCTTTGCGAGCTCTCGCAATACACTGACGCCGGATATCAGTACGAGGCCAGCGACATGAAATACTCCAGGTAAAGTTTTTAAAGCTCTGGGACTCTCGACTGGATCGTACTCTGACACGAATTCGTTCCAAGCATTCGACATATTTTCATTTATTTTTTCCCAGAGTTCTGGAATTGCCGATGGTGTCGGAAACAGTTTAGCTAAAGGACTCTCTTGCGTATATTCGCTATGTCCTGTGATGTTTTCTGGATGAGACAATTGTTCTAGAAGTAATAGATCACCGATGTTTAAAGATTTCTGTCCGGATAGGATTAAGTGGTGGACCCTGATTAGAATGTAGTATTTCGGCTCCAAAGATATGCACGGTATTATAATAAACTGCCATAGTGGTTGTTCGTTGGGGAAATATTTTGATACGATTTCGCTGACATATTCCTGGAAATAGAAACTCATTTAGTGGATGTGTTAGTATTTTTATATAATATTTTTACATTAGTGGTATGGGCTTATTCTGTAAACCCAGTGACTGTTTTGTGTAAATGTCACAATCCAGCCCATTGATGTGTAATGAATGATATTACTAATTTCAAAATATGTATATCGAATTCTTACTATGGTTCATGCTTCTTTGTTACTGCTATTTTTCACAAGTATTATTGCTACAAAGTATTCGTGCATCAAGCGTAATACTATGCCATTGCTCTTTTCTGATTTCTCTCAAAATCATTAATTTAAAAAACCACTCACCTGTACATTACTATCGTTGACAGGTCTTCCCCTATACACGGGTGTAGTCATTATGAAATGGTTCTCCGGTCTGAACGGTACGCTGGTGTCCCAGGCGTAATTACCCCAATAAGAGACAAGCAGGTGCCTGAGCCTAGGGAACATGAGGTCGCCATTCTTATCCCGTCTATCGATTACGTGTTGTGTGAGTTTCGCCTTTATTTCTTCAGGGTTTGGAGTACCTAAAAAATCAATAAATTTTAAGTTATAAAAAACGCCAGATCAGAAATCAGTAGGCAGAGAGAACTATTTTTTCACTTCCTTGACATTCATAACTCTTTATATTATGTGTTCTGATATCATCTTCCGACAGTAATCAATATGATCATGTTAAGTGTGTTTAGGTCTTTGCTTCTACATCGTTCCACTTTCGCGTATTTCCTTTTCTTCATTCTTTCATCCGATGCTTGATGGCGCAGGTGATAACGCGCTCAGCCTATGATATGGTTGTTAAGCAACTCTCACAATGGGCGGTTGTAGGATGGGTAACCAAAAATTTATTATCTCGAACTTCTTTGTGCTTCGGAAGTCCGTTAATATTTACTGATACGCACTGGGCCGTGTGTATGCGTGGTCGGTTATGGCATGGTCATGGCCCATTCTCAATATCCGATTCCATCCATAGGGAAGGCCTAAGCCCTAGTAGTGGGAACATTAATAAGTTGGTGATAATGATGATGATTCTTTTGTCTCTGTGACATTCTTACGCATATCAGAAACAGAGCATGCATTAACTTTAACAACGACTAAATTTTTTTATTTACCTTTTACTGATAGGAGTACATTGATGATGCCTTGGTTCCTATGCGTGTCCAGTAGTGACCGTACTGTGTCAGTGCGTATGAACTCTAGCCCTGGATACCTGCTGGATAGCAGCTTCAGCCATAAGTGCTTGCTTATTCGTACCACTGAAAGTATATAAATTTATATTATTAATGTTACGTAATTAATCTCGGCTATTCCATATGGATAGTGTAGTTCTATTGTTAATGTAAGATGTTTTGGTCTTTCATTCTACCTAAGGAAGGACTAATCTGTTTCATCGAAAACGAAATTGTTCTATTTTCGAAATACTAAAACGAGTCCAAAGATTTTCGATAATTTATTATGCAAAAGAGGTTTGACACTGCCTCTAATGCAAAGATAATCCTTAATGGAATTTAATAGCAAAATTATAAGAATGTACTAGATTTTTCCGAAATTTCTTTAGTAGACAAACAGACTAGGCCCTCTGATTATTTCGTAACGTTATACAAGTCTTTAATATATTCAGTTTGTTGTTTGAGAATTGGGAAACTTACTACCTAATTTATTAGGTGTACTATACTTAAGTTTTTGGTGAGAAAATTATAGGATAACTTTAGCTTATTTTAGCGCCGGCTCAATGAAACTTGGCGTCCTAGGTAAAACATTGGATATTATGCCCCAATTAAAAAACATGAACGACGCTCATAAAAAAACCACAAAATAAAAGACTACGTCGATTAAAGGGTGTAATTTTGCCAGTGATAAAAGAAATTCCTTAGGTATGCCTCAGATAACCTCGGTACTGCTGGTCTGGTTTTGTACTTTTAAATACGGCAGACATGGACTTCTTTTTAAAGAACAAAATTATTTTTTTAAGGTATTGCATTTTTAAGGTTGAAATAATTAGAACGAACATAATCTGTTTGCTATGTCATGCTGCCCCAAAAATACGAGCGCCCTAAGCAGTCACCTAGTAGGCTTATATGGACGGGCCGGCCCTGGTTTATATAAACTTAAACTATAAAAAGGAAACATTTAATTGTTTGTTTGTATCGAATAGGCTCCGAAACTACTAGACCGATATTAAAAATTCTTTCAACCTACGGGTAAATATATCATACAGGGTTGACATAGATTATTTACGCGTGCGAAGTCTCGGGAAGCTAGTTAAAATATTGCTAGTTTAAATATAAAAAGGCTACATAATTGAGTATGAGAATAACTAAAGGATAATCACACCTATATATGATACAGCTAACGCTGGTAGTGCTGCCAGGGCCACCCAGAAAGCGAACAATGTGTACATTTCTTCTGCGAGGCGCGAGCGCCTGCTTCTTTTGTGTGTTGCCATTATCCAGAGAGGCGAAGAGGTGTCAGCAGTTTGAGTAATCCCTGGAATTAAAGATTTATTAGACAGGACTAATACTAAGAAGAAAATGGAATCATTATGGCTTACGCTTGATGTCAAGCTTTCGGTTTCCAAACATCGAGTCAATATTCTGACCTAAATTAAAATATAATCTGTAGTCTATACTAATATTACAAAGAGGAAAGATTTGATTGTTCGTTTGCAACGAATAATTTTGAAACTAATGGACCGATTTTAAAAATTCACCTACGGGTAGCTACATCATACGGGGTTAACATGTGCTTTAATTTACGTACGAAGTCGCGGGAAAACATCTAGTAGGCTATATTTTATCCCGAATAACAGCTTATAAAGAGATGAACATGAGAGTGGAAATTTGTACGGGGAATTAAAACGTAGTTACCATTGTTTACTATTCAATTTGTCATTGTCATTATATCCGTGTCATATTATGCACCGATGTGCAATGATGAAGTATTTAAATAAAAAACATTAGTTCCCGAAATCAAACTAGATGTCGCTACGGTACTTTCTTGATTTCTCCATGACAACACTTACGGTTTTCTTTCATGTTTAAAAGTAGATTAGTTTTCAAAACTCAATAAACAACTCGTATCCTATTTGTAGTTTTTCGTTTTTGAATTGATATCCAAGTTACGAATTCCAATTTCAGTTTTTTTATTATGTTAGTTAAAAGGAACTGAAATGACTGTCTTAAGTCCATTTGTGCGAGACAGTATTATTTGCAGATGACACCTCTTTACTGTTTAAAGTTGAGAGGGGTAATGATTATTTTGACGATGTGAATGATGCTCTCGACAATGTTCTACAGTGGTTTGATAATAATAATTTAAAGCTCAATTCAAATAAAACGAAATGCATAAAGTTTGCATTACCTAATGTGAGGCATGTCAGTACACTTATAAATGTAAATAGTGAAAAACTTGAGTTGGTAGAATCGACAAAGTTCCTTGGTATTACACTAGATTCCCGGCTGCAATGGGATCTTCATATTGATAGCTTGTCAAGTAGACTGAGTTCTGTAGCTTTTGCTGTTAAGAAAATTAGGCTCTTGACAAATGTTGAAACGGCAAGATTGGTATATTTTAGTTATTTTCATAGTGTAATGAAATGACATATGGTATATTGTGGTGGGGTTCTGCGGCTAGCATTCAGGATATTTTTATTCAACAAAAGAGAGCTGTCCGTGCTATATATAATTTACGGTCTAGGGAATCTCTCAGAGAAATATTTAAAGAAATAAATATTCTGACTGTTGCCTCTCAATACATCTATGAGAATATTATGTACACAAGAAAACATTACGATTTCTTCACAAAAAAGTAGTGTTCATAATCTTAACACAAGAAATAAAGATAAACTTGCCGTTCCAAGCTTCAGACTTCAAAAAACCAGAGGATCATTTCTGGGTAAATGTATTGCTATGTTCAATAAAGTTCCACAAAATGTAATTGATCTACCCATAAATAAATTTCAAATTCATGTAAAGAATATACTTATGAGTAAAGACTATTATATTATAAAGTTGATGATTATTTTAAGGACCGCAATGCATGGAATTAATAGCCTTCACTCTGTTCTATAACGATTAATTATAGGTATGTACCAACCTATGTCCTACAGACTTTGAAACTTGTATTTATTATTGTTCAATATATGTATTATTTTGGTAATGACATGATTTATGTATACGTCATTACTTATGATAAAAAGCTGGTAAGTTTCTTTCGCTTGTTCTTCTTGTAAAGACGTCCTGAACAAGTGGTAGGGGAAAAAATATTTTTGGACGATTCAAAAGTGCTTGTAACAAGTTTACTTGAATAAAACATTTTCATTTCATTTCATTTCACTCATTTCATTCATTTCCTGAAAAATCAACTTTTGCTAGAGTCTAATAATGTAATGATAATTTTTAGTGCTTTCGTTTTTTTTTAATATTTCCTCATTAAACGCGAGCAAAACCGCTGGCGGAGAGCTAGTAATATTACAAAGAAGTAAGATTTGATTGTTTATTTTCATTGATTAGGCTCCGAAACTTATGGACAGATTTGAAATATTCATTCACTTACACAAAGCTACACCATATGCGAGTGACATAGGCTATATTTATGCGGGCGAACACGAAAAATTAATTTATGATGCAAACGTTAATATCCATTACAAAATTTAATTTATTTTTAATCGAATCTGCAGTACATTCAGTAGCATTGCGATATTCTTTGCGAATCGGCAATTGCGAAACTGGTTTCGTTGTTATGAAACTGGTTTTTAATGTTCGTAATTAAATTAAGTTAAACAAGTATTTATAGTGATCACTCAAACGTATTAAAGTGTGAAAAATATTTGCAACATATCAGTTATTTTATAATAAACAAGATGACTCAAAACTGCCCCAGAGCCATCCTCAAAGAGTATGTTAAGAGTGTCGAATTACGAACCTATTTTGAATGAAAAATTTTGCTTGTAGAGAGTTTTTGTTTGTAATCGATTAGTCAGCTGACTGTTAATCTATTAGTTTGACAGATCGTTCAGAACAGTTAACAGCTACTAACAGCTATCCTTAGTATAATATTTACTAGAGTCACAGGCGTTCGAAACATTTGTAATCTTACGCTACAACGGCGACCGCTCTATCAATTTCCTTAAGCTACAGCTTTATATGGGTATATTAACAAGTACAAGTACACTAAACTCAATTCAAGACAATTTTAATAATCTCGAAACTTATTAATTGCCGTATTTCGTTCGCCGAGTGACTACTAGTTTCTTACAGTTTTATGATGATCTATGCTCAGTTGGTTAGTATACAACAATTAATATGAAACCATTAAAACTAGATGCAGTATTTTAATTAGCAATAACACGAATTACTCATCCAAGTATCGTGTCTCTTATCTTAACCGTTTTAGCCTTTTAAAGCGAACACGACGATAGTAACAACAACATAACTATTATCTATTTTAAACAGTTTTAAAACACACTATGTCAGTCTACGTCTACCTCAGATGCCGACGACATATTAAGATTCACTTTCACCAATATCCGTTTCGTGGTGAAAGGTCGTCACATTTATGTAATATACGAATGTATTACAATAATTATGCATCATACAATTGTTTGCATTAAATAATTGTAATCGGTAGAAACTAGGTATCGTAAGGAAGAGATAAGTGAGAACTTTGTACCGAACATTTAATGATACTAGACTACATACACCATCGTTATAATTCACTGTGTCTTATTAAACAGTATGTTCTCCTGCGACTTCGTTTTGTATTTAATATTTATGACTTTTTTTATCGTGTTGGCGGTTGGTCTTTATGTGTTTTCTAATTATTCTTTTTTTTTCAAGTAATTAAGAAACTTATTTTTATTTAAAATTCGGTGCCGTACAATTTGTTATTAAATAAAAATTCACTGACATTCACAAGGAAAAATATAGGTAGGTATTTTTGTTCAGGAAATTTATATGGTCAGTAACCTATTTTTATAGTTTATTTAAAGTTTAATTGGTGAATTTTATTTGTAAAAATTCATTTTTGTCCTATATTTTTCGCTAGCTCTTGCTTTAATATAAAATAAATATATTCCACTCATTAATAATGTGCTATACCATAGGCTATTCCTAAGTCTGTATAATAATATTATGTTTTCTTATTATGTTTACATTGTGATTGCGAAGTTAGATGATAATTTATGACATAAAACCGGAATAATGATAAGATATTAATATGTTTGAACTATAAAATTGTTTAGAAATATTATTAGTACGAGATAATTGTTTTCGACCTTTCTAACGGTGTGATAAAGGTTAAAGTACCTATTGTATATAATATATACATTTTTTTATATTTTGGTAATTACTTTTACTCGACTTACGGGTGTTTAATTTAGAAATTAAAAAGCAACAAATATGTCTTACAAATTTAACATCCTTAATTTTTTTCTCGTCATGATATTCTTGTAGCTTTTGTTATTGTTTAGCTACTAAATTTGGGACATGAGTACAATGTATATGATGACTAATAATGATAATAAATGATGTAGGTACTTGTTCAATATATTTATTTTGAATACCCTACGACTTAAATACATATCGGCATATAGTGACAGTCCTACGTTGAGTATTTTATAAATAAGAGGCGTGTATTAACAGTGGAAATTTAATAATATAAATGCTTTGAATACTGGACAAATTTTTCACAATATTCTATCTAATGGATCGTTAAGTATATTCTAAACGTTCCGACGTTCATCATCATCTACAGCTGTATGATTGATTTCTAGAAAAAGCAAAATCAGAGAATGATGTATCAAAGTAAGTGTTTATATTATGTAAGGAAAGAAAGAAAATACATTCATTGACCACATACAATAATGATTTTACTTAAAGATAATACATGTATTAAAAAGTGGTGGCCAATCAGGACTCTGCCTCAGCATAAGCCATACCAGTGCAGATTATCCTGACATGACGCTGATTATTCTGGCAGAGACTGTGTAAACATATGTATGTCGTATGTATCATACAAAGGAGGATACAGTTCATCTTCCTTCAGCTGGTGTGATAGCATAGTGACCCGTTGGACGAGATAGTGCTATCAAATCAATACTTGTCAGTCGGTTGCTCATATTATAGTAGACGTTAGACTATCGTTTATTACAGTGTATCGCACTGTTATTATATCTAGGATGATACTAACATTTTTTTATAGATAAATTACCTACAGTCCAGTAACGCGTTTCACATTTTTGTAGCAGGTTTAGCGAGTGGTAATTTATTTTACGCAATCAGAAGTCATTGCTGTTGAATAATGAGTACGGGTTTAATTTGTAGAATAGTTGTTCGGGAACAGTAATTATAAAATAATATTTACAAAATAATTTATGTACACCTACGTAGGTATTTACAAGTTATTTTTCTTTCATTTAATTGCATGTTTGTGTTAAGAAAATATGTCAAAATTATTCAACATCAGGTGATGTTGATGGTTGCAATTCATTATTTATCTTATAGAAAAATACTCATAAAATCACCAATCCCAGGTGTCATCAATACACCATTCTGAATGCAATATTGATCAATATAATACACTATTTTTATTTTACTGGATTAATTGAAAGATCTCATGTGAATATAATATCACGTGACCTAAGTACAAAACAAATTGGAACTTAATAGATAGTAAATATTAAATGTTATGGTAAATTACACTTACACAACTACGATTAATAAAATGAGGTAGGTATATTAAGAATACCATTCTACCTACCTTGATAACCTATGACAGATATCTGTTTGGCTGAACACAATAAAACACGCGCGTAACAATTTTAAAAAGCACCACTGTCAAAATTCGAACTTGGAACGTTTTGGCGGGAGCGCGAACGGTGTGCAGCGCGGGCGCGTAATAGACACGGAGTGACAGCGGTCTATGGAGGCTTCAACTCACACCGAACCGCAGCTTGAAATCGCGTCGTTATCGAAACCATTATCCAAGGTTCAACAAGAACAAAACAGTGTGCAGTCACGATATGTTTTGATGTCATAATTAAGTAGGTATCTAAATTTCTATTGAAAGAGGTCGAATACAGTAAATATTAGAAATTATCTATAAAATTAATGACTTTATTTGCATCTTATTATTATCTTTATTAAGTGCATAGTATACTAGAATTTGTAGGGATTATTTATAGAAATAAGTTACCCGTATTTTTAAACACCCCTTAGTGCGGGTGCAACTTAGATGGACAAAGGGACTTTTTTAAAATTAATAACTAGCTGACCCAGCGGGTTTCGTACCACCTTATACTTACCCGATTTACAAAAAAAACTTATATACAAACCGTCGAATGAATCGTGGAACACATAAAAATGGAATCATCCAAATTGGTGCAGTCGGAACAGGAATTCGGAAGTTACGCGCGTACATATTACGTTTCGGTGATTCATTTTTATTCGTCGATATTTTTTAGCTCGCCCAGACATTTTTTATTTTTATATAACTCATTAGTTATTATTTATTTTTGATATAGTGTAAAGGGCAATTTTGATCTACACTACATGTATAAGGTATCTAACTTATTTATTTGAATAAGGATTAATACTAAATTGTTAAAAATAGGTTTGTAAATAACAATGTTTTGTTATAACTCGAAAGTTTTTGACAGCGTTGTCGAGGAAAGATTCCGATCGGCTTTATTTTTTTCCGACATATTGAAGTAATATTATTGTATTATTCATTCCCCGACCTTCCTGACAAATGACATACTCGTATATTTTTGAAGCCCCTTTATGTAATTCAATTCTTGCACGGACGTAGCTGTAGCTTTGACAGGGGGGGAGGGTCCCCAAAACAAAAAACAGAGCTCTAGCGCGAATAAAATCTATCATTTACAAACACTGCCTGCGATTATAACAAGCAAATACAATTATGTGTAATATATACTAATCTGTATTATATAACTTAAGTTATTGAGTGCTTTTAAATAAAGACCCCCAAGACCCTCCTTATATACTTTCTTGAATTCTTGTATCCTACTGCCAAATGATCGAGCAAAAACATTGGAATACCCGCGGCGACCTTGAACATTCAACTCAGGTACTAGCCTAGTATCCTTAAGTACACAAAATTACGGGGAAAATAAAAGCGTTCACTGTCTTGCTGTGTTTATGTTTTCCCATTTTGATACCCTATTGGCAGCTTGTTGCAGAATATCAGCCGTCAAAAAATAAATAGTTTTTTTTTTGCATCAAGTTTTTTTTACCGTTTGGCAGATCATATTTCAATTAAAATTTCAATTCACTTTATAATCAGTTTACCAGCAATTAAGAAATAATATTTTTTATTTTCCCTTTTTACGGCGTTCATGGTTATTATCTCAGAATTGCTGTTAGATACACTAGCTTTTCGCCAGCGGCTTCGCCCGCGTGGTCTTGTATTATACATAAAAAATCCTTTTGAATCGCCCTATCTAATAAAAAAACGCATCAAAATCCATTCCGTGGTTTTAAAGATTTAAACATACATAGGGACAGAGAAAGCGATTTTGTTTTATACTATATAGTGATACTATTGTAAAGTATTTTACTCGTAGGTACGAATTAACATGATACATGAAGATATTTATCTGTAAACCACTTTTCCTCTATTTTAGAAATGCTAATAGGACTCTAAATAATCACAATCGATAATTTCAGCGGAAGTAAGGCCTGACACTGCCTCTGATGCCTAGATAACAAATAAGACAAATAGAATAGGCCCTTAATTATCACGTTAATGTTTACGAGTTATAGATCAATCAAACCATTATGAGCTTAGGGAATGCAATCTCGTTCTCGCGAGATCTCGGGACTTTTTAGCGAGATTGATCTCGGTCGAAAAATTGGCGAGATCTCGCGAGTTTAACGAGATTGCACTCGAGCATAAAATTTTCTAATTTTCGATTTATTCTAAGTGCGGCAGCGCGAATTTATGTTCTTATTATAGAATAAGAACATGATATAGAATCTATACTCATATTATAAAAGATTTGATTGCTATTTTGTTAGCATCGGATAGGCTCTGAAAATATTGGACCGATTATAAATTTTTTCGACTACAGAATGCCACATTATGCCCAGGGATATAGGCTCTAAAATCGGGGAAACATCTAGTTTGATAGAATTTGTTCTTAATGAATAATTCTTAAAAAAACTCTTGGTCATTGGCCTACTTACATAACATGTCAGTTGAATACATATAAAATCTTCCTTTCAATGAATGCAAAATACGCAATCTTTTGTGTTCTAAAAAATTGGATGATATCTGATGAAAAGCATATTTTGTTTTGTTATAAAATTTTTAATTGTACCACCTCGGGCTATTAAGCTATCGATAAGAAAAAGAACTTTGAAAATCGGTCAGTGGTCAATAATTAGGGGCAAAATCGGTAAACAAACATAAAAAAAATACATCGCCGCGCGTCTTTATACATGTAGGTACCTCCTCCTTTTCGATTTTGAAGTTGGTCAATAAATTATATATAGAGTTTTTGTCAAAGAGTATTATTATATTTGGTTTTTGTTCTTAGTTTTACTGAACTTTTCAACGGTCTTTATAAAAGGAGGAAGTTATATGTTCTCCGCCTAGATATTATTTGTCCATTGATATCTCCGTCATATCTGACCAGATTTGCATAATTTTTACTTACTATATTTATGGGTATAGTAAGTAAAACACCGGACTCGCTTACGTTTATTCGCACTCAAACTTTGCGTTCCTAAAATTGTGCCACAAAAAAAGTTTCTAGTCTGTTTTTCAATAATTGTCATTCTATATAGTATCAGTCAAAAGTGCCATGGACGCTCTATAATGGGCCAGCGCTATGCTCGACGTGGAGTTCGAGGCTGATTTCATTATAGAATAATTTAGCTTTACTGATAAATAGGCCCCGTACTAACTCATACGTCCGTGTGATGCTCGACGGATTTTTTGTCAGATTGACACAGACCCTAAATTTAAGATTAGTTAAATATGTTTTCGCTAACGTTTGGAAAATTAACTTTTATTAATTCTTACTACATAAGTGTGGTTATTCATACAAAAGTTAATATAGGTATTTACTTTATAATATGCCCTAAGTTACGTCGTAATCAAATTTAAGAAATAATGTTTAAGTCAATTATATAAAAAGGTGTAAAGGTGTAAGTGTGATACGAAGTCGCTACAAAGTTAGGTTAAAATGAATAGAGCTTTTCAAAATTAAAATTATTTATTGAAACAACTTTAATGTTTAAATTAATATAATATTTAATTAATCTAACGGGCTTAAACTTAAAACTAAAGTAGGAAAGCGCAGTATGTAATGAATAGACAGATATCAAGTAGCCATAAGTACACAGGAGTTCATTAATGATTTATTACAATTACATATTTAGGTATCATTATAGGACTCAGTTAAGCTTTGCGGAAGATTAATGATGATTTAATTAAGTTTGAATTGTGTGTTAATTATCGAACAAATGCAAAAAATTGGAACATTAAAATTACAAATGCTTCGATTATATTACAAACACCTATTATGATACCTGTTTCTAAATAATTGTACACAATTCTAAATTAATATGGGATTTGCGATATCCAATACATATGGTGGTTAACAACAAAGAAGTTAAATATATTTAATAAAACGTAAATACAAGTTCTTACAGCCACTCTTATCACATATTACAACTTTATCTACTAGTTTGTCTACCATAGAAAATCTAAAATAACAATTTTACTTATGTCCGTTTGTTTGTATACAAATTTGCAAACGAAATATTAGTAGATCTAGTATCTTCACTGGGAGAAGTGTCAACGTTTTTTAATTTTCGCGTTGACAGATCCCGTTATAAAAAAAGGATTTCTAAGTTCCCGGTCGGCCCTAACACGGGAAAGTCATATTAACGTGGACAATGTATAAAGTAAAGAAAAAAAATGCACAAAGCAAATCCCCTCTATTCCCACTGGACATGTTACTATTACATAATAAGTGCGATGCAAACGCCGCTGTCAAGTTGCCGCACAGGGCAAGAAAAAGGTGGAAAGCTACGGTTTCATTTGTTTTCACCGTCGATAGATGGCGTTAATATTTAATATAATTCATATTCATTATTAGTAATATACCTACATATTAATTTAGGGATTTGGTATATTCTGGTTTTCTGGTTCCTTTAATTATTAATATTAAATAATGGTTTGAGACAGCGAAATACTCTTTAGTTTATATAGTATTATTATTATTATCTGTGTTATTAGAAATAAATAAGAATAATACTTAGTTTTGATATCTAAAATTAATTGATTCGATAGTTTAAAACAAAAACGGCCATCTATTGGCAGTTAAACAAAACTTAAGAAACGGTGACGTTCTACATTAAAGTGAGACACTACTAACACTGCATAGCACCATCCCGTTTCTACCACCGTAATTGCATCGCGAAAAAGAAATTATGATGTCTATCTACTGTTTAATTTTATGGTGGTGTTTGATTTTTTAACTTTTTTATATTTTAAAGTTAAATTAGTATTAGTAGAAAAAAAAACAAATTTACCTATATCGTAAATTTAAACAGCATTTAGAGAAATCAGTGGGAATATATGAAGTGTTTGATTGAGAATCGTATACACATTACGTTTCATGTCAAAAGAAAAGTTGTTTTCACTAACGAGACGATTATTCGATTAATTTGGCATCAAATAAACTTAGCTTATATGTAGTAATCGAGTGGAATTAAATGCGAAGCGTTGCCAATGTGATACTGGGAAGGAAGGAAGGGACAACGCTAATACTGTCTCTTTATAATATCGGACAGACAAAACGACATTCTGTTTATATATTTCACATTAATAGTTTACAAATGAAAATAAATTTTGGAGCATCTTTTGATAACTTTTACTGTGAAGAGAGAAATGTCGGAGCCTGTCAATATTTATAACGTTATGAAATATTCAATTTTGTACTCTATACCGTATGGTTTAAAGTATAAACTTGAAAGCTACCTCATATGAGTCAGTACAACGTCAATTCATATGCAACATTCAAAACATTACCCGTAGACATATGTTACATTTGAGGAATCCGAGTTATAACTTTTAAATATTTTCAATCTCATAAGATATTAATTAAATGCTTTTTATTGAAATATTGACTCAGATAAACATAACACCAGTCACAAAAACAAACAAATCAAACATCGCTTCAAATTCTTCAAATGTGACTCTAGCAAATGTATTGTTGGCCAAATAAATATCACATTTTGATACAAAGAAAGCTTACCGATACTAACCTGAACAATATAGTGCAACATAATATAAATTATATATAATTTAAGTTACACGTCAATATTAAAGTAAACATGAAGTCAACGATCAGTATTTTTGTATAATCTACGATGATGACTAGCTTGTTCGAATACATGAACATTTTGTATGTCAACAAGCAAATAAGACTAACCAATCTCATTTTCGAAATGAACGAAATAAATATAAGAACTACACAAATAAGTCCAGGTGAGTATCGTTTATAAGTTGGCGTGTTAAATAGCGCTCGCTTTGACGTGCTTGGTAGATAGGAACTTCTGCTCTATTGACCTCCTAGGGATTCCGCTTACCTTTTTAGGTGAATAACCGTTGCAATTGATAGATGACGGCAAAGATTTGTATCCACCGTCGGAACTGTAATCTGTATCTGTCGATTGACCGTTCAGACTGGGACTGTGCCTGTTGCCGTTCACACTCTCCTTACTGCTGATTCTGCCGTTATACAAATCGCCGTACGACGTATGATGTTTCAGAAGCGTATTCTCTTCTATTATCGCGTGTCTGGTTGCAGTCTCCACGTACATATGATTGTTTGTGTTATGAAAGTTCTCTATAGAACGGGACCGACTGTTGTACAACGACACCTTCCTCTCCGTCTTCTCTCCCACAGATAAGTCTCGTTTGATGTAACGTCTGTTCGTATCACTATTCGCCAAAGCTTGGAGGTATTTAGATCCGACTCTACTGTTAGTCTTCAGATGCACGTCTGTCCGTTTGTCTGTCCTCGTTTCGTCGGTTTGTTCGTTCACTTTCCTCGCACCGCACTGGCATTTCACTGGCCCGTTGGTGGGTCTCTTAGTCTTTTGTGCTTCACTATACGTCGGCAGCTTCCTCACGCCAGCTTGTTCATTCCAACTGTAGATAAAAGTATATATATAATTTGAATCGGAACTGTGAAATTTTTGCATGCTTCGAGACTTTTTATCCAATTATCTACATAAATATAAATTATATTTACAATTACAATAAAAGGCGTAGTGTGGATTATGAAGTCTAAACTCTTTTTGTTCATCAATTTGTCTGTGGAAATGTGCTTTCCTTTGAGCCTCACCTTTAAGTTCTGGCATGGCAGCGTGTAACACAGAAAATAATTTCACAATCCAATTATCAAACAAATTTATTAATCGGCTCTAACCGGTCACTTGTAACTACACACGACTACTCAAACAGAATCAGATTAAATTCAGAAACCAAACAAGCGGAACCATTATTGCGAAGAGTGCCAAAAGTGTCGTGCCTCACACCAAGTAAAATATCTATTAAAACTAATTAAATTAGCACCTGACTTTACATTGTTTTGCACCTATAAATTCATTTTAGTGTACAGCTATAGGAAAATATTCTAGTTATGTAACTTTAGTACATGACAGTAACAATCTTGACTTACACTACAGTCACATTAAAATAAATTTGTTTTTAACACTTATATATCCAGTTAGTAATTTCATTATTAATATACAAATAAACTTATTAACGTCCAGGTATACGTTTAGTAACAAGGACTTATGATAATATAGTAGTGATCTCATAATTTGTTTTGTACAATTTTTTGCCCGCCTATATTCAAATTACACGAATAGGAGTGAATATAAGAATTTAACACAGACTGCATTTAGATATAGGCACATCAGGCATCATTATCTCAAGTATAAGTTTATACAATCTCAAATTATAGGTATACAGAAGATGTAAGACAAATTTCAAATCTTGCATGCTGAAACGTCACTGTAGTATTTCTGGCAGTACTCATCGACATCCCTATCGGTAACGGAACAGTCCGCTGTTTTATAAAGGAGATGCAATAAGCACAACACATTGATCGAACACAAAAGGCAAACAGCGAGCAAGCAGTCGAGCCACGCTACCTGATCAGACGGACGAACCCTCGAGCCCAAGTGGAAACTGCTGACGTCAACATTATGACATAATATCCGAACGGGTTTTAAAGCAGCATGTGAGGAAATCAAGAGAATAATAAACTATTATAACGATACGCTGGTAAATGAACTTAATGATGAGAGTTATGGAACTAATAATATTTACAACTGATATATTAATTATGATGACTTAATGAACATGGTAATAAATGCTACCCGTGATATATGTAAAAGAAATAACTTTAAGATGCAAATTAATATTATTAAAATAAGGAGGTAATATTTGAGTTACACATAGAGAGATTCAAATGATAATGCCAGTGAAATAAGGTGCTACAGAGAAAGTTATTTGGCACATTGAAGTTGGAGCAAAAGTCATCTTTTTGTTCATGTAATCCCTGAACACAACGATCCATCTAGAGTCTGCCAAAGTAGTTGATAATGATTGACATCTTGAAATTGTATGAACAAGACTATCTTTGCATTGTGATAAATGATATGATGGGTATATCGGTGTTGTATATAAAAAGATAATGGTGGAGTGCAATGATTTTAATAGGATCTTTAATGAGTGCACCGAAGCGACGAAAAACCTAAAACAATAAATAAATATAAAAAGTAATATATTAATAAAATATAAATGTAATATGCTTTAATGGGTTTGTTAATATGTAGCCTCCTTTTTTACAGTATAATTAGGGCAGGAAATAGACTTTTAACTATAAAAGTGAGGCAAAAACTGGATCACTGTGTTGTAAAGTGTTTGTGTACCAATAAAGTGCTACCGTTAAGCGTTAATAGTAGTAGGATGTGGTTACCTCACTAATCCGGAATTTTCAGAACTCGTTAGCGCAGTGCTCATCGGCGGCCGCAACTGAAATAGTGTGAAACAAATATTTTAATATTTAGTCTGTGATTAAATGTTTCAATTATTTGTTTCGCTTAAATGAAACATTACAAAAACTTTAATAAGAGAAAATATATGATTTTGAATTCATAAATTATCAAGAATTGCATATATTCAAATTTTGTTGATATTATGTATTTGTTGTTTATCTGTCTCGCTAAAGCTAAAGAATAGCTAGGTCGTTTTAGCAGGTTTTGGTTTTGCAATATTTGTCGTAGTCGGGAAAGTTTGAACAGTGAGATGTGTTACGAAGTACACCAGGTCTTCTGATCTAGTGAGTTTTTAAATAATACTGATCGCGTTTCGCCATGATAAAATTAAGTTCATATTTACATGTATTTTTACTATATATGTTAACAAAATTCATCTCAGGAAGGTTTTTATTTTTCACGTCATCAGACTCTACATTGCGGACTTTGTATCGACCGCTCTTTGGAGAGAACTTCCTTACTAACAAGTTCTATATGCAACGAACAGCAATAATTATATTTATGCAAGTAAGCACTTTATACCAAACATTTAAAACATTAGTTCAGTACCAGACCAAAACGCTACCGTTTACGCAACTCGTGCTCAATAACCAGAAATACCATTTACGTAAAATAATATATTTAACCAATTTTTAGTAATAATAATAGTTAACTATACCATTTATTACGTTTTATATGTAGTCATTATTATACGATTTTCGACTTCTTATTTATATCTACTACAAAAGGAGACTTACCACTAACCTCCGAGTGGAAAGAAACCTTTTCAACAGGATAGCTTACCCTGTCAGTCTGCGTGGCGACGTTGCATGTGTCGTCAACACGCGGCTCGTGGCTCTCCGCCATCCGCAGCATCTGCTGTTGTAGCACACGCACTAGTCGGTCACGTTCCTCTAGCTGCCCCTGAAAAAAACAAGTTAAAAGCTGGACATAAAGACAAAATCAAAGTGCCCATCAAAGAGTTTATATCATTTTTATAAAAAAACTAAACAACTTCCTGCCTAAAACAAACCGCCGCAAACAAAATCGCTCTGGTATGTAGGGTACTCGAGATAGAATTTTTCTACCCACAACTCGCTATTGAGAATATTTTTAAGTTTTTGTAGAAATTAATGAAAAATTTGAGTCGTATTTACATTACAAAACTAATATCAAAAAACTGAAAGCAATAGCATCACGACACTATTTTCGGCACTAGATTGCAACTAAATTACAATTGCATCGCAATCGACAGTATCTTCAAATATGTATGGATAAGTATCTTTGAAACACTGGCACCGTCAACATTGAAGGTTCATTATGCGCAGATGGCGTCGCGACACCAATTTCGCCATGGAAAAATTGGGCGCGTGATACTAGTTCCATCAAAAATATACATATGACTTGAATTTACTTAATTTCGTGAAACTAATGCATGTATTGTGAAAGTGGACGTTTACATGTGTAACTGCTAGCGAAATTAATGCAATGAAACTAATGACGTGCAACAAGTTCGTAGTGAAATTCGGCTTAAGATATGTAGGGTTTCTGCTGTTAATTGTACATACCTGCAGATATAGAATCTGGCGACGCATTTCTGCGCAGGCGTCGGGGTGCAGCGGCGAGGCGGGGGGGCGGCGCCCGTTGCCGCGCGCGGGGCTCTCCGCGCACGCCGCTAGCAACGGGTCGAGAGTTTCACTCTGTAAACATTATTTTAAATATCTTTATGGTAAAAAAGAGTAATTTTCGATTACCGAACAGCTTATCTAGTAGTATACAAAAAGGACTATGATGAAAACAAATAACTCAATAAGGTATTACATACCATAGTTATTATTACAATGGTATTATAGGCATACAAAAAACAGTGTTTTTAACTGAAGAAATCGATTAAAAAAAATTACAACTGTCAAAATTTTCTTCAATATGCAATTAGTAACATATACAATAAAAAAACAACTATAAGCTTTAATGAGCAAATTATAAATAATTAATGAGCAGTTGTGTTCATATTGCCAAACCGTAATGAGGTTTTATATTTGTGATGATATTCGGCGAATATGAATATTCGTATTCATAAAGTAAATAAATAATTACGATAATTATGTCAAATCTTGGCTAAAATGCTATGAACTTATAAACATTCGCTATAACTAATATATATTAAAAATTAACAAGACTCATATGATTTTTTTGTGCGCCCTCTTAACTTGTCATATCAATAACCGGTTAGTAGAGTTCAGTGTTGTGCATATTGATGTATTTTTTCATTTGTGTTAAAATATATATTTAACTAAAAATATATCATTGCTAACTAAAAATGTCAAGGAGTTAGAAAGCCTTGTTTTTTAAAATATAAAACTCTTCAATCGGAGATTCTAACGGAACTATTTGAAAAGTACCTTCATATATATATAGTGATGCTTTTAGTGTATATAAAAAATACATAAAAGATTATAAAAGAAATAGAAGCCATTCACGATACAAGTGGCAGTGCTCATAGTTAGATATTAATCTATATTATATATATACATATAATATAATACTGAAGTAACCTCAAGCCCAAAAGCAATAAAACATAATGTAAGCATTTTTAAAGCGTCTTAGGATAAATTAAAGCTACCACATATACAATTTATATTAGTTGCAAATTATAGTTAAATCAACGGATAATAGATATAAAACGTTGTCTATGGTTCGGTTATATTTTTCCTTTTTGAGATATTTATTTGAAAAAGACATCAACGACGTCACTTGTAGTACATTACAGATATTTTTTTTTTAATAAAAACGGTTTTTACTATACAATCTACAATTTTGAGCAATTTTATAAAAGTAACTTTAAACTATACATAACATGCGTTTTACATTTTTATCGTCCCTAATTACTAAATTTATGAAAAGCAATAGTTAACAAGCACTTCTTAAAGTCACCGTGTTGTAAGAGCTTAAAAAGTATATTAAAATGCCTTGTTAATATGTCACTTTTCGTGTAAGCAATGTCTGTGCCCATCATTTTCTTTCCCTGTAACCAAGCATGTAACCAGCAGCGGGTGCCTATAACAGCGCGGCGTAGCTACTTACACTCATCGAATGATGCTCCTCCCCGGGCTTGGTGCGGCAAACAAGGCGATGGATGCAACCAAACAAAACATGTTACACACAAACGGACGCACGTGCCAAGCGGGACACTAACAGGAGCGGGTATACTACTTCCGAAACTTATAATACAATTTATTTAATTTTAAGGTTTATTATATTGAGCAGGGAAGTGTGCTTATACAGATATTCTGTGTTAAAACGAATTAACATGACACGCGAGCATCTATTTTATCTGCCTTCGAACGAAAATTTGCAAAATATTGACTCGTTCTTTTAATATTGTTAAAATCATATCCGGTGAATATTATCTGTATGTGCATCGGAGACAGTATCGGGTCATACCTTCGTTGCATCATAAATTATCAAAATGGGTTTCGCTGAGATTTTAAAAATAGACGATATTTTGTTATGGGTGGAATAGGCTTTCAAATGTCATTTTAATTCGTACAAGTAGTAGATTAAATATCTGTATTTCTGCAATTGATTAAAAAGAGTTCGATTTATAATCGAGAATTAAACCTCGCTATCTGATACTTATAATTGGTTATCGTAGACACGCTCCTGTTGCGGCATGGGCAAAATATAATATTTTTTTTCACAAATAAATAAAAATAAATTGAATAAAACGTAGTTTTCTTGAAATACTGCTAACAGTATTGAAACCTTATTGTTGATATAAGGAAATAGAAGTTTTGCATTTAATTGTTATTATTATTATTGTCAAAGCAAAAACAGGAAAATTAAAACATATAGCATGAATTAATTACTGTTTAAACGCTTATTTGTGATAGTAGTTACAAATAAGTTTAGTATATTTCCGTATTCAAATGAAAAATTTCCGATCGCTATTTTAATCAAATTTTGATAATCACATCTTTCATTGTGATTTGAGAATGAGTAAGCAAATTCTCTTAATCTTCTTGTAAGACCATATTGTGTAATGTTTTATATAAGTAATCAAACTAATCGGAATATAGTTTGAAGAGCATTACATAAATGAAATTAGAGTACATTTTAGATTAGAAAGCTCTTAGGCTCACAATCTTCCAAAAGATACTTCTTTTTTAAATTTAACATAGATTACATTTTATGTAATCTTGAATGGTAATAATGTGTGATATTTTAAACTGGCATATGAATATAGTGCGTAAGGTAAGTATCTAACAGTAACTTCATGGGAAATGGGACTGTAATTAGCTGGTTCTACATGATTGCTAGTAACGGGGTAGGCATGCTACATTGGTTACTTAGGAGGCGAAATTGCAAACGTGGGTGCTTCCTACTACATTACACACATTTATACGAATAAAAAAGAGCACGAAATATGCAAATAGGTGAATAGAAACGTTTGAACGATATTCGTAATTATGTACTTCAGTTACGTTGTAAAAATCTAATGTAGGTTCAATTTAGTGGACCAATCAAGATCACGTCTTACACCTGTGAACTGAGGTGGTATTTTTTTTAAAGATAAATAATAGAACTAATAAACATCAATAAAAAGAATATGCAAAAAAAAATCTCTATGGGTGTAATGTCATGCGCATATGATATACACTATTGGCGCTACGCTATGTGCTTTTAAAGATTCGTGTAGTAAATATTATCACGCTCGTAATAGACAGCTATGTCTAACGCTATGTAACAGAAAGTGAAATTATAGAAATGAAATACTAATAAGACTACTCTATTTATGCAAATGAATAGACGCCACTACTCTATTTATGCAAATGAATATGAATATAAAAATATAAATATTAACCTTTACGTTGTCACTACAGGGTTTTCTAATGGAATCACGACATTAGTTTTAGAAAAATAACATATACGCACATTTTAGAAAAAAGTAAGACCCATGGTTTGATGTAAATTGAGTCTTTCCAATAAAATGATGGGGTTATAGAATTACGGAATATGTATTTAAATTCTTACCAATATCTAGAGTTAGCCTAAAAGACAGGAAGAGCAGAGCCAAAAGCTGAAAGGTCTGTCTATCAAGTAAGATTATTGATGAGTATTAAATGTGTATTTTTTTTATGATGTCAGTAAAGGAGCTCTCACTCCTCAACTTTAATGCCTGTTATCTAAATCATTTCTTATTAAATTGAAACAAAAAAAAAAATACATATCTAATATTTTTCTGGTATCATCCCTATTATAGAACGTTTTAATATTTTGATAGCAGAAAATATTGTTTGTGATCTCTCAGAATAAATTTTAAATCCAACATGAGTTTGCTTATACTTATAAAACGATCTTTTGTAACGTGTACCTCCTGTAAGACCCGCTTGAGTTGTAGCAGCAGCGTTTTGATGTCCACCACATCTTGGAGTAGCGTAGCTGGTGCGGGCGCGGGCGATGCGGTTCCATCACTCGCTGCGTCAGACGGAGTCTGTGTGCGTGATCGCTGAAGAAGTCGAGCCGTGCGTACAGGCAAGCTGGCTCTGTAATAAACAATTCATATTTACAGTGACATATTCAAAATATATAAGAAGGAAAAACCTATTTTAGGTTTACATCATATAAAATAGTAATATTTACTCTACATTAAATTTTTTGGTATTTAGATGGGTGAGACTTTATCTAGTGGTACTTTATAAACATTATATATATCTACATTTCTCTTAAATTTGCGTCTGTGAATATTTAATATTTTTATTCATACAGTTTATACTATTTTATATTTAGTCCACAAATAAATAAAATCTACGTCTACTTCTTACGCCAAACCTTGTGTTGTTACGTAAGTTGTACCTAATAAAACTTAAAAAACTCACATACTTCCATAATACATTAACCCTAAATACAATTCAATTTTTTGCGCAGTTGTGTCAATAATAGCAAGTTAGGTACACTTGTTGGAAAATAGATGTTTGCCTAATTAAATAATAAGACTTTTTCGTTTATGTAAGACACTGATAGTAACTTAATATCAAAAGCGAATTATAAATAACATTACGAAGGCAATGGATCGACTAATCTCTTATGTGTCATTCGTCGCCTCTACGACTTCACAAACGCTTAAGATCTTGTTATGTGTGTTTTTTTAATTTAATTTGTAACTTCGATTGCGTATTTTACCAGCAAAATAATTTTGCTGGACAATAAACTACTCTTATTATTAACTTTTTTTAAATTATACTTAAGGCTACTTAGCCTTAAGTATAATTTATAAAAAGTTAAAATACCTAAGTAGGTCTAGGAATAAATATAATAGAAATGATTAGGTATGATTAAGTGTATCGTCTTAAATAATATATTTATTTATATTTTATATCATATTTCATTTTTATAATATTAGATTCGCTTGGATAAAACAATATTAATAGTATAACTTATTGTTGCTATGTGATTCTATTCTACAAAATATAGATATTTCGTGCTGATTTCATTTCACATTAAATAAGGGTGTAAACTTGGCACTCCCGTAGCAATTCATTAATGAAAAAGTGGGTTGGCGACCAGTGCCGGATTAGCCATTTAGCAAAAGTAGCAAATGGTACGGGCCCCACCGTTTAAGGGCCCCGCGCACTTGGGAGGCTCCCTATGGCCTAACCAATATTTTTTTCCGTCATTGTTAAAAATGCAGGAAATAAAATAAACCACACTTCTGCCTAAACTCATATTTTTAAGTATAAACATAATCTGAGAAATAAAACTCTCAAACGACAGATTAGTTGTGTTGTGTTATTCGGAAAGCAAAGGACGACTTTTCATTTCCAAAGTTAGTGATTCCGATTATTCAACATCGTCATCAAGAATGATTGAATGAATGCCCACAATTATTTGAAAATCTATAAACCATATCGTACCTTTATTTTGTTGTTAGACCTCAAAAAAAAAGAAGGATTGTAAGTCAAAATAATATTTGTATTGGCGGTTACTTTCACAGTGAAATGTTACAAATCAAGAAAATTGTGTTTGCAAGAATTTTGTTTTCTATCAATTATACACTTAATTAAACTCAAGCAAACCAGGGGAGAGGGTTCTCAAAAAAATTTCTACAGGCCCCGCTCTAGCTTAATCCGGCACTGCTGGCGACAATGACACCACCTGTAGTTTATAAGGCAACAAATAGCAAACGGTGGCTTATTTTCTAGGTCGTTGGGTTAGAAATTATAAGTGATGAATATACAATTTTAGCAAACACCGAGAAGACATTTTCCATTCATAAACGAATTGTAACCATTTGAATTCGTATAATCGCCCGTAGTTTGCAAGATTTTTAATATACAAACAAAATTAATATAGCATGTTTAATGATTGATTAAATTACATTTCCCTCGTTAATGTAAAAAGTAATCGTTAATTTATTAAGACTATTATAGCTGTAACACAATAGTTTTACATGTTATTTATGAGTTATAACATTTTCACTATAATGTACAGGTGTTTCGATGATTTTATTACAAGTTTTTTTACGTCTTCTTCTTATTATTTACTGCGCTTTGTTTTAAGTGGCTTCTGCATGTAAGTCAAATTAATGTAAATTAAATAATTTGCGCAAAATTTTGAAAGTTACATGTTGATGAATTGTCTTAATTTAAAATTAATTAGATAATAAATGCGAAAAATTGTTTGACTAAGAAGTTGGTGAGTATATAAAATAATTTCTAATTAATTGCGTCATATTAATATTATGTAATATAACCGATGAGACTGAAAACATGTATTGCTGAAAAACATAAACTTAAAATAGTAAATACATTTAAACTGGTGAAATTGTGCAAAATTCATGATACAACAATCGTGACAGATTGATAGATGTTTCTCTAATACTTTTTTTTTTTATAAAAAAGCAGTCTTTTTGTCAATTAAAATTTTTCTGGATTCTTATTTAACTTTTACTAGAGTGTAATAAATATATAATAATCCAGAAACTTAAATTGGGTAATAATTTTTTGTTTTATTGTAGACGATTTAAAAATAAACTATTACGTCACTGACCGTCGATGAAGCATGAAAGAAAAGTTGTAAACGAATAATTTAACTGCAACGGCAACCAATAGACAAATTAACTAAACTAACTAGTACAATTTTCGGACACAATGTTTACAGTTAGTAGAAACGATTTCGTTTTTAATAATTAAGCGAAATCTTTATCCAACGTAAATCTAATCTTCAAAAATTCAATGTTGTTTCTTTTGACTAACGATAATTTATATACCTACATATTATCACATTTGTTATTATGTAGCAGTCTACACTTTCAAAAGTCCTTGTTATGAAATCACTAGATATGGTAATGCAAGTGAACTGTTATTTTGAGATCGGATATGCCTGTTCCTATAATAAATAGGTCTAACTCTACTCTTTTAAGATTATTGAGTTATATGATCTGATGACATCATTAATTTTAAACTGTGTATTAAACTATAGCTAGTTCCGTATAATAATTATAATGACGAAAACGGATGGAGCTAAAATTGGTCCTCTCTTATGGCCTTGTCGGTGTAACCGCGGACTTGGACAGCCTTTGTGAAATGAGTACGAAACAATAGATCAAATTATTACGCTTTCGGTCAATAGAGTAACCTTATTTTGATAGTTGTTGGTACTTTACTTAAAAAGTCGATTTCCGTTAAACACCATTAAACACAATTAGCAGGAATAAAGTGTAGTACCGACAGGTGTCTTGTTACATTTCAACAATTCACACGAACTAAATAGAACAATGAACATATATTTGAAAACATCGAAGTATCAGAATGTTGAAATTGATTTGATAGCAGTTGATATAGTCGTAAAGATAACATACTTTAACATAGGTATATGATACGCTTTCCAGCACATTTTAAAACTGAAGCACTTCTATTCGAATAAATTAGAACTGGAAAGAAATTGGGCCGGCAATTTCACTGTGGGATTTGTGATAATTTTGTAGATAAAATTCGGTATCCACCTGTACTGTTTAGCTCTTTGACTTCGTAAGCTGGGTGCAGGGCTGGACGATCGTGTTGTCGTTGGTTCGGCGACATGGAGATCGGTCTTCTGTCTCCTGGCTCCGAGCACGTGTAGGGTAGCAGGTGGGGCGAGGGAGGCGCCAGGCCCCGTAGTCGCCGACACTGAACGCATGCCACGCGAGACACTTTCACGGCGCGCACGCACGCGCTAGACTGAAGCCCGCGCGTCCGAGCTATCGACGCCACCACCGCCGACGCCGCACCACCGCACAATCGGATCTCGTCGTCAACCCTGCCCATTCATGCCGAACGGATCACGGTTGCAGTTTTTTTTGTCACACTCTGTTTCTAGCCCGCCATACTGTTATTCCGCCTAGTTTACAAACGGCCATATTTGCCGAATGCGATTAAGGTTAATATGAAACGGCTGCTCTGTTGGTATACATCATTAAGTTCATAGGTTTGGTAAACCACGAGGTGACGCATGCGTGAGGGCGTCGACATCCAGTTCAGCAAATGCAGCCAGGTGTATCCGAAAGGGAGAACGCTCCGGCCGATTCTAGTGTTGAATCGTCACAAAACGTCCGTCATGCTCGTTGCGCGCAAGTCGACATCACAGCACTTTCTTTTACACGTGATTTTGTTTGTTTTTTGAATCTGAGTGTTACTTCACCGGCCCAGATGTAAAACTGATTTGTGCAACATTTTATAATCACAGTTATGAATTCTTATTATATAGATACATTTTATGACACGGAATACCTATATAATCAGTTTAAGGTCAGGCGAACTTGGCCTGGCACTGGAGGTCAGTGTCAGCGTCTGGACGCGTTTGTTTGTTTTGCGAGAGTCGTCGTCGGTCCAGATGCTTGCGATGTTACAGCGCATGCGTGCGTCCGTTCAATAATCACACCCTCCACAGCTGATCCATTTCTGCTAACATTATATTTATCATGATCACTCATCGAAATTTCTAATATATTAGTTGTAAAATTGTACATCAGTTTTTGTACCCGATAAATGTTTAATTTTGAAGTGTTTGTCTGTGGTTTGTCTCATCTATACTCTGACATGACGATGTACAAAAGAATTTATTACTAAAGATCTCGTATGCTTTATACTTTATTTTCGATACAACATGAATGTAACTTTATATATTCAAAGCCTATTCAGGTAATCATTAAAGTTAGCATGATAATGGATATAAAATCTCGTTGCAAGTGATCATGCTGTCGTCGCTTCAGTCACTGTTTGCTTCATCCTTGTTGCAGATGCTAGGCAGTCGAAGGCTGGTAGAGCTCAAAGCAATTCGACTATACTATAAAGAAAACACTCCTAAAGAGTTGTTTATTTCTGTTAGTCGACGTAGCAGTCTCTTCATGAAAAATACAAATAGCCAATGTGAAAATAAATATCACGTGCGCTAATATTTCTAATTTTCATTATTATAAAGTAGTTATGATTAGCTTTGATACAAAAAAAATACTGTGTCCTTCGTCTAATACTACGACAGCTCTGTGTTTGAAGCTTAACTGCGCTTGCTGTGGCGGCGATGAGTTCGAAGCTGTTTTTTTTTCAAGAAATGGCACTGCATGAAAATATTTATTTCAAAATATAATACTTATGATTGTGATGAATACGAATATTCGTATTCGCCGAACATCATAACCGATATTAAAATTATCTATAGTAAAAAAATATGAGCGAAAAGAAAGCATGGTTTAGCTGTAGCTATGTAGCTATTATATTATTTTAGCGAATTTGATCGGATGACATTTATTCGCGTTCCTAACAAAATAGTCTATTAAATTGGTAGGTAATAGAGAAATAAAACGTTACTGATTTTAATAATTACTATATTAAATTCACATTTTGATATTCAATTCAATTTATCTTTATTTTAATTGATGTTCATTGATTAGTAAGACCACGATTTACGTATGGTTCTTACTTTTAGTGTTACTTATATAAAAAAGTATCAATATCACAAAAAAATATTAAATAAAAATAACTACTTCTTTCTTTAAAAAATAGAGTTATAATAACAAAAAAAATATAACTCTATTTTTTAAAGAAAGAAGTAGTTTTTTTATTTATTTAATATTTATTAGTGATATTGATACTTTATACTTATCTTAAAAATATATATTCAAGAAACTGCTATACAGAAAACCTCCGCCCGATTTCAATAGCAGTTTTTTAGATAATGTCGCTTTTGATACAAGTATTCTTTTTCACTTTTTAAAGATTGAAGTTGGTCAATATTTGAAAATAATTGACTTTTGGTGTATATACTTTTGTTTACTGAATGTCAAATGCCCTAAGATACTAAAAAAATATTTTAAATAGGTAATTTGAAGTCTGTTTTATTAAAAAATACCTAACTGACATTATATTGTTCATAATTTCTTATATCAATTGAATATAACTTTCACCGAATATATTCTATAATCTGACATGATTTTTATTACGGTGATTAGATGAGATTCAGTCAGAATTGAATATAAATAATATAAAATATAATGTAGCAGATAAAATATAGCTTACTTTGTTCAACTTACTTAGTATTTTAATTAATATCATAAGACTTTTTCAGAAATTAAATATTATCTATATAAAGACCATAATACTGAAGCAAATCAAACGTAGACTCCTAATCCACCAAGTTATAAATAATATCTAAGTTTTAAAATTACATTTTACTTCTAAATTACATTATTTATGGTTCCTATTTTGCAAATTATTTAGAGTTTATTTTTTTAGTTTAACAACTTCAGCGAGTAAGGATAAATAATAAACAGTCCACGTACTTATTGTACGTATGTCAAACAAAATTGAACTTTATAGTAGCGTATATTTGTGTTTTATACATAAGTAGATATTAATTACTGGTTATATTGATGCACGCAGTTAACCGAGTTTTCTAGGCCATCATTCTCTATTAATAAACTAATCATAACTGAGGGGAACGCCCGCATTAGGACTAGTTAAAAGTAATTGTATGTATTCAGTCAATCACTATTATTTTCCTTTCGGCCCCCTGATATATTTATTACACAGTTACCTGTTTTTCGCATTAATCAATCATGCTTTTCTCTTTTTCAAGTATTATTTCAGAGATGTATAACATTGTTTTTATGAAGATGTACGAGTACTATCTAGATAATTTAAGTATTATACAGTCAACAGCACGTCAGATTATACAAATCTGTCAAATTATTATTAAACTTTAGACTTTTTTGTGGTGTAAAATACACGCCCTTCAACTAGAGTAATTATATGTACATACAACGCACATGAGTATACCTATTATGAACATTATACGAGTAATATTATAGATTGCTCGTATATTGCAATAATATGATGTATCTGTATTGATTTTTATTCTCTACACGGAAACAGAATTATTAAAGATATGATTAGAGTTATCAATAGATAAATACTTTTGGTAGTAAACAATGTGCTCATATGTTTATATACAGGATGTCCCAGAATTCCGTCGACGCGAAACGGAGTGACCCCATCCCATGCAGTTTGAAAATTATGGACATTTAAGAAAAACCTAGAAATTTGGTCAATCTGTAACCATTGCATGGGAAAGATTTTTTTTCTGGTTTTTCTCATGATGGTTACAATCAGTCCTGACACTCCGAAAGATGGACCAAAATAAGCTTGTTACAAGCACTTTTGAATCGTCCAAAAATTTTTTCCCCTACCCCGCATATGGCAGTTCAGGACATCTTTTTCTATGTATTTGTATAGGTCTTTTTAACTACATACATAATTTAGTATGTACGTTACATAAACGTTACGTTTAAAATAACTAGATATGTAGGTATTATAATAATTAGGGCATTTAGTGTAAATAACTTTTTATTATTATCGGTTATTATTCAATCTCTAACATTTAACTCATTCTGCTTCAGGTATTAAACTGCGTTTTGTGTTTCATTTAGAATGCAATACAGAATAAATAAATTTAAGCTTGAGCATAATTTATCATAAATTCACACCAAACATGTGTGTCAATAATTTTATATAATATGACCATGAAACAAAAAGATTTGATCCACTTTGTGTAAATAAAATGCCCACCTACGTGGATATAATTCGCACGCATATGGCAGCTAATTTTATAAACCGCACGACTGGTCTAACCATCTGCAGATAGTTAAACACCTCGACCTTCAGTTAAAAAAAACTTCTATGTTTGTAAGCGTTTATTTTCGCGTGCAAAAAGAAATGTTTAACAAGTGTCTTTTACTTCTTTATAATTAGTACCTATACTGGCAACTTTGCACTCATTTAAATCTTATCATTCATACCTCGGCTCATACTCGGATTTCAAGGTGATTTATTTGGTATCAACGTAGAACAGTGTTTTATCTTCTTCCAGCTAGCTATTAGGGGCCATTTCACATACTTCTAATTGGAGATGGACCTCTAACTTGGTGTATTCTGCAGTACCTAAATGTACATAATTTAAGAGTTGTTCTATAGAAGTTAGCTATAGAACTATAGGATTCGCCGCGCTAATTAACAACTACTGATGTAGAAATTGAATTTCCTTATATTATTTGTTACAGTCGTTATTTCAGCTTTCCACAGTACTAATGTTATAAATTTATTTTCTTTATTAAGTTATTTAAAGGCGCCTATCGTACATCAACTGCAAAAGTAGCGAGCGCACGAGACTAACGAAATGACTCATTTTGCAGCAGGAGTCACGTTACTGCGGTTCACCTTGTTAACGCTCACATTTTTATACTGGTTACATTATTGTATTGGTGTGGATTATGTTACTTTTCAGCCTTATTTAGTTTTTACTGGTTTACTGTTACTGAAACTGTTGTTGTTCTTAAATGATTTATTTTAAGGATCTCCTAATGCACCCTCCAAAAATAATATTTGAAGGAAAACTTATCAGAAGTCTATGCTTTTCAAAATGGAACATTTGCGAGTCTAATTCGATCTTGCTAGATTTTTATAAATGTTCGGGTAACCTTTTAAAACTATGAACGAACATTAAAATAATATAATGATACACCTTTAATTGATAGTACCTACTTTGGGATGCTTTTGTACAAAAGTTGGAAATTTGTCAATTTGTAAATAAGGTTCACTTATAATTTCGTGGAAGCTTAGATAATGTTATTTACTAATCAATTATTTTTTTGCTTATCAACGGGAAAAGTGTTATATA